TTTAACTTTCCGCGGCGATTGCGGCAAAACGGTGGGAGATATCGACTTGAAACCTTCACTATCGTGTTCCTTGATCAATTCTCTATCGTTTGGTATGTATTTCGTTTCCCTAGCTCTAAAAATGGCGCGTTGGGAGCGCCGGAAGTCGGCAAGGTCACAGTCGGCGGCAGAAATTCGAAAAATCAAAATTTAAATTTTTGAAATCTGATTGTATTTTTGGATTTGGAAGGTCCATTTGCTCCTTATAGAAGCTAATATTGCTGCATATTCCCATTGAGGTGACAAGAATTAGCAAAATAGTGGTTCGGGCACTTTTCAAAAATAGTACCGGACGCTGTTCCTCTTATGACGTCATAACTCCGTGACCTGACCTGACCCGGTCAATTTTTTTGCACCACACGATAGCCAATGCTTGCCCCAACATGCATGGGAAGTTTCATCATGATCCATCAAACAATGTGGGTATCACCGGCAGAAAACCTAGGGATTCGGCGCACACGTTTGGTAACTGTCGGCCGGAGGCGGTACCTCTTATGACGTCATAACTCCGTGACCTGACATGACCCGATCAATTTTTTTTCAGCAAAAGATGCGCAAAGGTTGCCCCAGAGGGTATTGAAAATTTCAGCCCGCTACGACAAGCCGTTTAGCGTGCACTTCGAAAAAACCTCAGGGGGGGTTGATACAACCCCCCCCCCCTAGGCGTTCTAGGGTTAAAATACCAAAATCAAAGGGGGGCACGGTGCCCCGGTGCCCTCCCCGTTCCGCCGCCTATGAGTAACAGAATCTTCCCAGCCAGCAATTTTACTCCGGGCCCAAGCAGGCTAAAGTGCGGATTGCCCGAAATTTTTAGTCGGGCTAATGGCGGCTAAAGTCGGCTAGGGCTTGGGCTAAAGTCGGCGTATGACACAAAAACGCCGACTAAAGCCCATGCTCCGCCGGAGGTATGCCCGCTCTGCGAGCTCCGGACAGGCGTAGTTTAGCCCTGGTTGTTCGACGATTGGAGGTAGCCCGATGTAAGCCCGAGCAAAACGTGACTGGCGTAGAAATGCGCATGCGTGAACAGCCGATCAAGTACGGCTAAACTCCGGCTTTACTCCAGTTAGCCAAAGGAGACAGCCAGCTTGATCAGCCCGCGCTCCGCCCAAGTTGAGCCTGCTTTGGATGCGCGGGCGGATGTCGGGCTGAGCTGCAGCTGGCCACACTCGGGCATAGCTGCGGCATGCCCAAGCTCAGCCCAAGTAAAAAATGCATTGGTTTTGATCGAAGTGGGCAAACCCAAGCTAAGCCCAAGCCGCCCGACGTTTGCCCTAGTTTAGCCCAAGCGAATTGCTGGGTGGGTTGGGATGAGTAGGTAAATAGTAAATACCTACCGTAATTTTAACAGTCGTTTTGAACATGATGGCCTCAGCCCTCAGGTGCCCTCAATGACCCGTAGACCCTGAGAGGTCAACTTGGCGTTTTTACTCATTGTCGCCTTTCTATAGCTCAAGGTATTTAAAAACATGCTCTATCGCTCAGCAACTGGTGAGCTGATCGCAGGGCCTCGTCTAACATGTTAACTGGGGGGGGGGGGGGGCAATTGCCTCCCCAGTCGAGCGGATTGCCCCCCCCCCCCACCCCAGTGGCCAACATTTGCCCCCCAGTCAAAACGTGAACTTCTCACAAAATTACCTTCCCTGCAATACGTTTTTGTTAGGAGTCTTACATGGATTTAACGAGAAACATTATTTGTTAAAAAAAAAACTATTCATACCTACTCCATGACTACGGGAAAAGCCAGAGTTTTATGATCTATAGAGCTGAGTACCTACTGTGATTCTGTGATTTTGCTACTGTGATTCAAGTAGCAAATTGTCAATTGGCAGCTGACCAGTGACCCAACTAGTGTTTGCGCCCCCCCCCCCCCACTCAATCAAACGCCCAACATGGATAAGTATGCTTAGGTATCACTGTCTGGTGGGGCAATGTGAGGGGGTAACACATTAATCTTAACTCTCGCCCGTATTGGTGTTTTTCCAGCCGCGAACGTATAGGGAGGGAGGGGGGGGGGGGCGTTGGACCTTGCCCCTTGCCGTTTCGCCCCTGATCGAGCTAGAGCTTCGCGGAGAAAACCACCGTGCTGCCCGTCACGAGAGGAAGCCGATGATACCTCATTTTAAGGTCGTAAGTCATCGGTTGACCTTCCAGGTCAGGTCAATGACCCAAAAGTCGGGAAACTCGCGGGACTTATTCCAACGTCGTAAAGGGTGGCTGTTATTTTTTGTCGGGGTGCTGATCACGAATATCATGTTAGTTATGATCATAGATAATGTCTTCATGCATTTAGGCCAGGTCGGGTAGGGTCAGATCAGGTCAACCAGTAAGGGTTTTGCCGGGTATTCGTAGTAGGTGGCAACCGCCTCTGGCTCTGACAGCTTCAAAACATGTTACGAAGGCACCAAAACTACTTCGTAAATGTTCAAATGGTTGCTAAATTCGAATTCAGCTCCAAAAACTGGCCTAGAATCATGTAAAACTCGAAAAAGTGAACCGAAGTCATCAAAGGTCAATGACCTGACCAGACCTCCCGGTGACCTTGACGCCCACCTTAATGCATGGGAGCAATATCATATTCCATGTTTGAACGCTTGAAACCACGAAAAGACTGTAAACGCGCGGCTAATGCGAGCCGACATACCTACGCCAAATCGCGATTCCGGTCAAATATGGTCTCGAAAAGTAGGTCACAGGTCAAAGGTCATTACGGTCAGGGTCATGACATTTTCAGAGTAGGTGTAAAATTGACTAACGCGAGGGTACTGAAAGTTTCGTCGCGGTCAGCCGCTTTTACGTGAGCTATTCTTGAAAAACCGAGGGGGTCCGTTCGACCCTCCTCCCTATATGAGCATGGCTCGGATTGCCTTTTTTTGTTTTTTGTTTTAAAAAATCATGGTCTCAGCCCTCAGGTGTGACGAAAAATAAGTGGCCTAAATCCGTTGAGAAAACAGGATTTGGGGGTACCCTAGGTTTGGGTCCTTCAGTCTCTGCCCCCCCCCCCCCCCAGTGAAAATTCCTTAGACGAGGCCCTGGCTGATCGAGATGCTAGCGCAAGCAGGCACCAGTCCATTGTTAGGTATGCGATTTCACCAGCCGTTTTGAAATTTGAATATGGTGACTGGTGACCTCAGGTGACCTCAGTGGCCCTGAGAGGCCAACTTGCCGTTTAGGCGCCTATTGCAGCCATCCTGTAACTCAGAAACTGCTGGGCCCTGTTTCACCGGTGATAGCAGCAAGCTACTATCAAATTGCGCGAGCTGACGTAATGTGATGACGTCATACTGCTGACGTAAGGGGCAATTCTGGCGCACGATTGCCGCAATATTGTTTTACGTCATCAGCTAAATGTTCGAAGTTAATGTCCAAATTTTTCCTAAACCCAACTTCTTTTAAATACATCATATTGAAAAAATATATATCAAAAATATATATACTATCATGACTGCGTAAACTCTTACTTTTAGTCTCATACGTCACTTAATGCCGCCGCCAAGGTCGCGGCAATCGTGCGCCGGAACTACCCATTACGACAACAGTATGGCGTCACGACATGACGTCAGCTCGCGAAACGTGATAGCAGCTTGCTGCTATCACCGGTGAAACAGGGGCCCGTTTCACCGGTGATAGCAGCAAGCTGCTATCACGTTTCGCGAGCTGACGTCATGTCGTGACGCCATACTGTTGTCGTAATGGGTAGTTCCGGCGCACGATTGCCGCGACCTTGGCGGCGGCATTAAGTGACGTATGAGCCTAAAAGTAAGAGTTTACGCAGTCATGATAGTATATATATTTTTGATATATATTTTTTCAATATGATGTATTTAAAAGAAATTGGGTTTAGGAAAAATTTGGACATAAACTTCGAACATTTAGCTGATGACGTAAAACAATATTGCGGCAATCGTGCGCCAGAATTGCCCCTTACGTCAGCAGTATGACGTCATCACATTACGTCAGCTCGCGCAATTTGAGAGCAGCGTGCTGCTATCACCGGTGAAACAGGGCCCAGAACTTAAGGTCGACCAATCTATTCACCGTATGGATGATGATGTAAATAATAAACCAAATTATTACAAATGCATTCAAATATATTCAAAAAGACACACAAAGCTTTCGGTTCATGGAACCTTGATCACTGTGCAAATGAGTATAACAATCGCTGTAACCGTCTAAAAATTCACGGTCGTCAAGTTAGATGTAAGTGAATCCTAATCTATAATCTAAGATTCGGAATCAGGTGAGCCCCTACGATTTGGACCAAACTTGGTCAGTGGATAGTACGTAACGTCCTGATTACGATGCACCTAAAATCTAAGCTCGGCCCGCCATATTTACGAAGTTACGGATGTTTGAATTTCAAGGTCATTCGGGAGAGCCCCTACGATTTCCGTCAAAATTTGTGTACGGACACTCTAGATGCTCCTCATTACGAATATCACAAAATTTAAGCTCGGCCCGCCATATTTACGAAGTAACGGAGGTTTGAATTTCAAGGTCATTTGGGTGAGCCCCTGCGATTTCCGTCAAAATTGGTATACGGACATATTACATCCTCCTCATTACAAATATCATAAAAGTAAAGCTCGGCCTAGTAAAGCTAGTAAGTAAAGCTGTCATGGATACTCAACTATTCACCGTATGTCATGTCAAGTGCCGTTTCAAATGTGGTGACCTCATGTGACCTCGGTGACTTTGAGCGGTCAACCGGACGTTTTCTACCACTTCAGCCATTGTCGAAATCAGCAATTGCTGGGCCGATCGGGACAAAGATGCCACTAGTCGATGCGCTGTATGCGACTTCATCACTCATCAGCTGCTTTGCCTACAGTAGAGTCGATCACCTGGCACTAGAGAGCCAATCGCCAGGTGGAGGGCCGCTCTTGCCCCCCCCCCCCCTCCGATGGTTCGCTTTATCGAAAACTGAAAAGACCCATGCCCGGCATTGATGTTAAAATGCGGTATTTCGTTGGATCTTGCATCCGTTTATTGCTAGGGTGATGACCAGAACACAAGTAATGGCGAACAGACACAGTATGGGGCGCACGCGGGGCGCGGGAGGAGCCGGCAGAAGATGAGCGCCCTCCTTCGACCGCAGCCCGGCGCCCGGCACTATACAAACAGGCACGCGAAGCGGCGGGACAGCGGCGGCGCTCCACGACGGAGCCACACCGCGTCACCAGCGCACTTCGCGACAGTCAGCTCCGTGGATCTGAAACGGAACAGTGGGACGGTTAGCTAGGTTCAGGGCATTAGAACTCGTTACTTCAAGTCACATGCAGCGATTGAATTGGCGTTATATTTACAATGCAGCCGTATTCAAGTAGGTATGGTCAACTTGAAATAGGCATTACATCACGTTAGCACTATGGAGTTCGTTTGGTTTGCGGTTATTGAAATGCACATCAATCCATCCAATACCGAGCTCCAGCGCTGTGTGAAGCATTAGATATTAATTTCTAAGTTCCCCATTTCCACGTACCATAAGCGGTAATCAGTCGTCGTTCGGGGGTCTGTCGGCATTTCAGGCCTTCTCCTGGTTGGCGGTCTCGGCTGAGACTGTGGACGTGGTGTCGGCGGCGGCCGGCTTGCTCTTGCCGTCGTCGTCGGGGCTGATGCAGACCCACGGCATGTGCTTGCGCAGGGCGGCCCGGTAGCGCGGGTGGCTCAGCGCGTACACCAGCGGGTTGTACGTGCTCACCGCCTTGGCGAAGAGGGCCGGCAGCGCCGAGACGAGCGGCGTCACCAGCATGGGGTCGCCGGAGATGCCGATGGCCACCACGACGCAGTAGGGCGTCCAGCAGAGCGCCCACACGGTGATGTTGACCAGGGCCACCTTGGCGATGCGGATCTCGGCCGACTGCTTGTCCTGGTCGGCGTTGCTGCGCAGCGTCGAGACGTTCATCTTCTTGGCCTGCTCCTTCAGCGCCTTCTCGTGCTGGAACACGGCGTTGACGATGTGGTAGTAGAAGAAGCAGATGAGCAGGATGGGGAAGATGTAGAAGCCGACGATGCAGAACCAGATGTAGGCGGTGTTGATGACGCCCGTGTCGAAGTAGTCGAACGTGCACGAGTCCAGGATGCCCTCCGGCACGTAGGCGCCGATGCCGAAGAAGGGCAGCAGCGTGAAGGCCATGGTGTACGCCCAGACGAAGATCATGATGGCCAGGGCCTTGCCGACGGTGAGCGGCGCGGCGTTGAAGGACTGGACGATGACGCGGTAGCGATCCCAGCTGATGGCGACCAGAGAGCAGATGCTGGCCAGGCCGCTGACGGCTCCCAGGAAGCCGCACACCTCGCAGACGCGGGGGCCCAGCTGCCAGGCGCCGCCCATGAAGGCGTTGTAGATGAAGGCGGTGTGGTTGGTAAGCGTCATGACCAGGTCGGAGAGCGTCAGGTTGATGACCAGCATGTTGGACGGCGTGCGCAGAGTCCTGTCCTTCAGGAACAGGTACAGCGCCGTGAGGTTGCCGAACAGCGAGACCACGACTGAAACGGAGACGCGGGATCGAGCGGGGAGGGTCAGTTCAGCGCTGACAAATGGCTCGAAACATCCCATGGAGATGTCAGCCACGAGCTAAATGCAATGACAATAAGGCACCGTAAGTAGAGTCAAAGCGTACCGAATACGATAAATGTAACCAACCACTAAAATATCGAATTGCCTAGCTTTCCATTGGCTGCTCTAATATCGTCTGCCGAATATCTGGCTATAACGACAGAACTGCATAGTTAAAACTTCTCCGAAGCCCCGCGGTGTGCGAATTAGCCTGATATTTCTTCAAGTCCTAGCAGATGACTCACAGAGGACGATGTAGACCATGCCGAGCATGTAGTGCCAGAGCGGGTTGACGGGGGCGAAGTTATACCAGTGCTTGGGGATGATCTCAAGCATGTCGGCAGGTGCAGTGTCAGGCACCCGGGCGTTGGGGTCGAACATCCAGCCGAACTTTTCATCGCGGGCGGACACCGCGAAAGCCTGGGGATCACGTGGGATGTCACGGGGGCTGGTCACCATTGTGAGCAGTCACGGGTCACAGGATAGGGGAGGCGTTGTTTTACGGCAAATAGGAATAAAGAAGTAAGAATACAAGGCAAACACTTTATCTTAGATAAAACATTAATTTGAGCTATGCATATACGTTTTCATTTCTTTGCCGCCTTCTCACAACCTCTGTCTAAGCTTCATGAACTTATCCTGGTTTGCTTATGTTGTGCTAAAAAGAGGAAAGAGCAAGAAAACATTGCAGTTTCTATGACCAAGAGAAATAGATGCAGCCCGGCTGGCGTTAGCTGAATCCCCAGCCGTCCAAGGTACCGGTGCTGGCGGACCCGCCCCCTTACCGCTGCGTGGACGCTCTCCATCCTGTCGTCACCGGGTCTCAACTGAGCACTGCTCGCATGCCACTGGCTGTCTGGCGCCTTTCGTCGCCACCACCCCGTTTATATAGTGCCCAGTTACCCTGAGGGGCTTCGCTCCGACCTTGTTCAGATACATCATACTGCTTCCCTGTGCTGCGCTTCTGTCGGCGGAAGGACCGGCCTCCGCGACACTCAGCATTCGTGCTGAGCTTCAGGCTCCGAGGGAAAGCAATTGTAACTTTTCTGAAAATTCAAATGTTTAAAAAGTCCAACGTAAACGTTTAAAACTGTTCGACCTGCATGAGCTCAACGCCCACCGGGCTCTTATTTCGATAACTTTGATCGTTGATGATCAGTTAAAATCTATTTTTATTTACAATCAGTTAAAATTTATTTTGGCTGACGACATTGCGATTGTCGGATACGCCAGAATCAAGACTTTCAAGTTTCTCATTGATATCTGAGCATCTGTTTACACTTACACCAGTATAACGCCTTTTGGGGCGACTAACGGAGCAAGGGAGAGGGTGGGCCTTGCACGTGCGAAATTGCGAGGCGGTACTTCCAACTGACTTGTGCACGGCACCCTACTAACCGGTCTCTAGCGATGTGCCAAATTTGGGCACAATCGGCCCAGCCGTTCTCGAGATCTGGAAGCGGCACCCTGCACGTGCGCACGTGCAGAATGGGTCCCAACTGACTTGTGCACGGCACCCTACTAACCAGTAACCGGTCCCTAACTGTGTACCAAATTTGAGCGCAATCGGTCCAGCCGTTCTCGAGATCTGGAAACGACCCCTGCACGTGCGCACGTGCAGCAGCACCCCAACTCTGGCACATGAATATGCAGTGCCTAGTGGGTGCCTACCTACATGCCAACTTTCAGCGCAATCGGCCAAGTAGTTACCGAGATATTGCAACAATTATAAAACTGACACCTCTTCGAAGGGGTCACCCACATGCATCGGGAATAGATCAATACTTGGTAGAAGGAATGAAGCTACCCTGCAAAAATTACCGCGTGTAAATCGGTCAAATGGTCGCTGAGATATAAGCCTCGCAAAAGCGTCCGCACGGCCGGCCGGCCGGCCGCTCATACTCAGAAATTTCCGTTAATCTAAGGAAAGACTCCGCTCGCTTCGCTCGCTCCGTAATTATTTTTAGTCGGGTATAAGGTATATTTCTTCTTGCTCTTCGAAGTTTCTTTATTTTATTTATACTAATATTTCTACTAATTGACGTAATGACATGATGTGGAGATGGAATTAAATTGATGAAATACTAGGACTTACTCCACAAGGAGATCGAATGGGTCGGAGCGCTTTCAATATGTATTATACATATCGTCGTCAGCGAATCAATAACGGGTCGAATCGAATCGAGTCTTCGATACCCGACTCGATTCGACCCGTTATTGATTCGCTGACGACGATATGTATAATACATATTGAAAGCGCTCCGACCCATTCGATCTCCTTGTGGAGTAAGTCCTAGTATTTCATCAATTTCTACTAATATAATGGACCGGAAATTCGGTTCTATTCGTGTCGATCATTTAACCTTCCAGGCGGTGGGGGGGGGGCATTTTTTTGCCCCCCCCCCCTTTTGTTTTTTCAATATATCTCGAGAACCGCTGCGCCGATCGTCACCAAACTTTCAGTACCCTCCCGGGAGCAGCTAGCGCACATGGAGATCAAAAATTTTTCCAAAGGCTATGATAGGTTGGCCGCTAATGACGTCAGAGTGACGTCATTTTTGCCATTTTCGACCCAAAAAAAGGTTTCGCGGGAAGAGCTGTCAGGCCTACAGCTTCAGAGATACAGAAAAATCTTTCAACATAAAAGATATAGAATCAAAAGGGCTACAAAACTGCTATTTCGGTTTTTCGAATTTTTTTATTTTGACCCCCAAAAATAAAAAAAGATTTTTTGAATATAATAGCCAAAAAATCCTAAAAGTTTTTTGAATTTCGAAAAACCGGAATATATGTGATAGTCCCTACCACCTTCTATCTACATACCACCAAATTTGAGATCGCTACCTCTTTTTTTGGCCAAGTTATAGCGAAAAAACTGTTCAAAATTGATGACGTCAAATTTTCAAACTCAATTTTTTAGAAATTTTAGACCTCGTAGCGCAAAACAAAGACCACCATTAGACTCCCCGTGACGAGCTGCATCGAATCGATACCCATTTTATGCAAAAATATCAACTTTGAAATTTGACCTTTTTTGACCTGACCTTGACCTGACCTCCACCAGAAAGTGACCTTAACCGTACCTGATGGTCTTATAACCAAAACCATTGAGCTGGAAATGAAAAACTGGCCATAAAACATGCATCGCATAACCTTAGTAAAGTTGGGCTCATGTGGTGACCCTTGGTGACCTTTGGTGACCTAACCTGTGACCTGACCTGGTATGACCAGTGACCTCTAATAGCAACATATGTACTAGACAACTGACGCCTTATCGCTGATTTCCGACAAAATGCGTTTTACTCGGTGTTATAGCGCTTTCCCTAGAAGCCCCGTGAACGGTGAAACATTTTATCTTTGACCTGACCTGTGACGTCATCGGTGACCCCGAGGTCAATGCAATTTGGTTTCCTTCGACAAATTTGACAGGGCTATCGAACGCCGTTTGAATTTTCCGGATCCGTCCAGTAGTTTCGGAGATACGGGGGGAATGCCCCCCCCCCCACCGCGCGGAAGGTGGCTGGTAGGCCCACCGCCTGCTTAACCCGCGCACCGACGGGGGGGCGGATATCCGCCCCCCCCCCCTGAGGTTTTTCGCGAATAGCGGGAAAACCGCGGCGCGTAGCGCCGCGAAATTTGGTATGACTATAACCTCATCAATTTTACACATGGTGTGCAAGTTTGAACCTCCTACCTTTTAAGGTCAGGTCACCAGGTCACTTTGAATGACCCAACCTCAAGTCTTTTTTTGCAACTTTGTCACCGTGGCCAGAGCTGCAGTAGATGTCGGAGGCCTTTGAAAGTCGCAGGATATTATAAGGTCATTAGTAGCTACAATTTGTATATCTCGGAATTTTGATATCGGTGACCTAAGGTCAGGTCAATTTCGCGACCTCCCCATTATAAGTCAATGGGGGAAAAATCAACTCCCTGTTTTTACCACTAAAACGGGTCGGAATGGCCCCATATACCATACATGACTTCATATACGATCAACCTTCACTACCTTGAGGTCTGTTTTGCTGTTGGGCAGCTGTGAGGTCATGTGACGTCATCAAAGGTCACCAAAGGTTTTTGGCCACTAACTCCGTACAGGAACAAGATACAGACGCGTGGATGGTCTCATTGTGTTCAGCTCGTCAAGACGCATCGAATGATATACATGATGACCTCGAGGTCACGTGACCTGAGGTCAACCTTTGACCTTGACCTTTCGAGGTCAACATATATATCATTCGATGCGGATTGACGAGAGGATCACGATGATGCCCTTAGTTTGTTCCTATCTTGACTAATTCGAAAGTTATTCGAGAAAAACTCTCTCCATATCTAGCGCCGCCATTTTGACTTTTTCGACCCCTGTGACGTCATCTTTGACCTGACCTGAAAATGACCTTTGTAAAAATTGTAGATCTTGGCTGTGCGTATCCGATGCCGTTTACCGCTTGTCGCTATCTTGCTTCGTTCTCGAGATCTCAGGGGGGGCGGTCATCCGCCCCCCCCCCGTCGGTGCGAAGTTGGCGCAGACCCCCGTTGGTGCGCGGGTTAAGACCCTACCTAATAAGAAAGTCGTGCAGCATCGCATTTAGGTTGATAGGGGAAAGTGGGGTAATTTGAGCATGGAGGTAAGATGATCCATGCGGATTTCTCGGCTTCTATGACTTAAATTTATACCGTTTTTGCCATCCAAATGGACATAAGTGGACAACTGGACAGGACGTGCAGGGATCACTAGTATTGAGCTCGTCCGTTTTTCGCCAGAAGGCGTTTTACAGCTGAATATAGCCAGCAACATGTCGGGTACCGTATAGGTAACATGGCCCATATAAGGCATGGCACATGTGACAGTTCGCTGCTAATGACCTGAGTGACATGAGTGACCCACGACAGTACCCATGGGACTATCCGTGTGCCATGCTCCACGTGAGCTGTCCTTGCCCGTGTTCGCGGAAGGGGCACTGGCAACTGAGAGGGTCTCTCCCGCTGACGTACCCAAGGAAGCCCACCCTCTCCGATCCGTTTTGGGCACCACAATCCTGTTATCACCCAGTGCCGAGCACAGGGGTGGGGGGAGGGGTGGGGGGAGACGGAGAAACGAGGAGAAGGAAAACGAGAAGACGGGAGACGGGAGACGAAGACGGAAGACGGGCAGATGGAGATGGCACATCGCAAACGAAGACGACACACAGAGAGATAGAGAGAGAGAGAGAGAGAGAGAGAGAGAGAGAGAGAGAGAGAGAGAGAGAGAGAGAGAGAGAGAGAGAGAGAGAGAGAGAGAGAGAGAGAGAGAGAGAGAGAGAGAGAGAGAGAGAGAGAGAGAGAGAGAGAGAGAGAGAGAGAGAGAGAGAGAGAGAGAGGCGAGAAGGAGACGACATACGAATGGCTTGGGAGACCGGAGACGGAATCAGTGTCAATGGAAACGAGAGAGAAATTAAAATACAGATACAGTAAGTAGGTACAGGAAACTGTTAGTGTTGTGTCAGAGCGGCAGACGGGGTGTCAGAAGAAGTGCTGGGTGACAGGAACTGTAAGTCTCATAGGCTGCTTGCAATTGTTGCTATTTATCAGCCACTGTGGATGATTAATATTTGTTTGCTCGTGTCAATGTTCGAAGACAGATCCATTCCGACAATTTATCCTCTATCCTTCATCATTTACTCCCTGCTTAACCCGCGCGGGGCTGGGGTCTCCAGCCGAACGCGCGGGGCTGGGGGGGGGGGTAAATTTTACCCCCCCTGTTATCTCCCGAACTAATGGTCCGATTTGGAAAATTCAAACGCCAATCGAAAGCTCTCATCACGAACTACTAAAAACATGTACTTAATTTAAAGTTTGAGGTCAAGGTCAAGGTCAGGTCAAGGGTACAAATTGCAAGTTTCTACAGTATCGGCCTTGCACCGTAGTTGCCGAAGAATGGAGTCATGGACTGAGACTGATCGGCCAAAACGTGTTCTTAGGCTACCAAGACAATATTCGTTGCATACAATATCATTCAGAGGTCAAGGTCAAGGTCAGGTCAGGTCAGGTCAGGTCAACAAAAAACAAAATATAGAAAAGGGCATGTGCGACACATGTTTTATGGGTCATTTTACTCATAGAATTCAATAGGCACACTCAATAAGTGATATGGACCACCTCTGGATGAATTTCAGGTCGAGGTCAGGTCAAGGTCAGGTCAAGTGAGGTCAAATTTTGAAGTTGGTTGTTAAGGCCTAAAAAGGTGTCTATCTGATGCAGTTTTTCACGGCGAATCGAATGGTGCTATTTTTGTTTTCGTACGAGGTCTAGAACTTCCAAAAAAGTCATTTTCAAAAAAAATGTGTGTCGTGACGTCATAAAATTTTGAATAACTCCCACATTTTTTAACCGATTCTTCTAAAATTTGGTATGTAGGTGCACATAGACCACTTCTCTGACATATATTCCGGTTTTTTCGATAGACTCAAAATTTTGGATTTTATAATGATTTTCCCAAAAAAGTCAGTTTTTTGAAAACATTTAGGCCAAAATCCAAAATTTTCAAAAAACCGAGATAGCCATTTGATAGACAAAGTAAAATTACGTATAACATTTTTGTTACGTCTTGATTCCTTTAAAAATGAAGATGTTAGCGGCGTTTGAACTTTTGCCGTTTTTGAGGCGGAAATGGCGAACATGACGTCACTAAAACGTCAATTTCTCAAAAAATTTCCGACGGATTTCGTTAAAATTTTCAGGGAACGTGTCAAATTGATGTAAGAAAAGGTACAGGAAGTTTGGCGGCGCTGCGCGCCGTCGTTTTTGAGATATCGCAAAAATTCGCGAGGGGGGGTAAAATTTACCCCCCCCCCAGCCCCGCGCGGGTTAAGAGATATCAGACACCGTCTTTCGTTAGTAGGTAGTTTGTCATTGGCACTTTAAGTTCGACATTTACGACATATTTTCGCCCACTTGCTTCACGCCTTGGCTGCCGCCCTTCACTCGATTCCTCTTCCTCAAGCTGCCTGGGGAAGCCAGCTCAGTGCCCCTGCAAGGCCACGGGCGCTGCCAAATCAGGCCACTGCCCGCCGTGCCGGGTCGAAACCTCGCGAGACCGACTCACAACCGGCTGGGTCAGGGCGTTGGTGTGTGGTTGGGGAGAATTCCAACACATCATGTGCTGAGGATGAGATATGCTGCGTTGGTGCTAAAAAGTGTCCCTCACGCTGGTAGGTCTCAACAAATACTTTTAGAAAACAGGTACTCGACATAAGACTACATATTAGTGTCTCCTCACATGCCTGTTGGGTGCTGAATGCTAGGTTGTAAAATGCCTCAAGGCACTAGATATAAACGGACTCTAGATGCTCACTTGCTTTATTTTTTCAACATTAATCGCAGCATCATGTTGCAGACTCTCAAAAGAACACACAGTCAAATGCGACGCCATGTCGCCAACCAAGTCCACTCACTCACTCGGTCTTTCTATTTTTATCCCTCCCTTTCGCTCTCATTCTTCGTTATATTCATACTCACATCAGCAACACCACCACTAACAATATTGAGCTATCTTCCGGCCGTGCGCCCGCACTATCTACTCCGACTACAGCTTCAGTCTAGTCCAGATCTCCTTCCGACATCGACTCTTGTAGTCGTGACACGACTCTGATACGTCTCGTGTGCAGGGAGCTGCGCAACACAGGCTACTCAAACACATAGCAACAGCAGGTAAAAAATATCTGCAAATACAGTAAGAAGTAAAAACGTTAACAATGACAAGCGTCGAAAGGTAGAAAGAAACACTAAACGCCACAGTGTTCATAAGCAATTGAGTCAATCATCAGACACCAGCCTTCCTCATGTAGGCATGCAAAATATCAAACAGCATTGTCGACATAGGCGACGATCACTAATTTATTTTCTAGTTGCCTTCTAGGGCCGGTTCTCCTCTAATAACTAGGAGGGCTTTCATCGGTGTGCCGTCGACCCTCCAAAACCACCCCATCCGAGCTCAGTTCAGTCTCTGAGAAACCTGACATCGACGCTCCCTCGTCAGCTGAGACAAACGGAACTGGCATGTCCGTCCCAAGTGAGACCGACGAAGGTGGTGCCGCTTTTTCGACGGAGACTGGCGCCTGTGGCGCCACCTTTTCCATTGCAACGGAAGCCGGTGGCGCCACCTTTTCCTTTGCATCCAGCGCCGGTGGCGCCGTCTTTTCGATAGCAGCGGAAACCGGTGGCGCCACCTCGTCCAGGGCCGGGTCGTCGATCTCGCAAAGCAGCTCCGAGTCGAGTCGTTCCCGGCGGCGGCGCGAGTCACCGTGCCGGTGTGAGTGTCGACTCGGCCGCGGCAGGGAGCCACCGCTGGTCAGCTGCTCGGGGAACGAGGCCAGCAGCTGGCTGCGCAGGCTGGACAGCTGCGCGAACAGCTGCTCGTTCCGCTCCTGGGACTCGAGCGCCGTGTGCATCACATGGTGGACATTGTTGTTGACCGTCTCCATTTCCTGCCAGTGAAACAGAATTAAGGGTCAGAGATGGTACCTGGTTACTAGGATTGCCTGTTTAGCGTCGGCATGAAATGTACTTATCACAAGGACAGCATGTGCCGACAAAGCATAGCTCTTATCCTTACGGCTAAATGCTTGTAAGGCATCATGTAAGAGTGTTCCCTTTGCCACGCATCGTTTGATCGGCTAGGCGTCGCCACCACGATATCTGAGCATGCAGTGGCTCATAATTACACAAAAACGCTGGCTTGCCCTCTGCTATGGCCTCGATAGGGAGCCAATGCTTGATTCTCGTTTCGCCTGTCATTGCTTACCGACCACATTTCCTGGAGCTGCTCGTCCACCTTTCTGAACATGCCAGAGAACAGCGTCATTTTGTTGTTGAGTGAGGTTGCCAGTGACTGTAGCGATGCCAGGCTGCCCTGCAAACAGAATCGTTCACAAGTTATGATCAGACAAAACGTAAAGGGGCCATGGGGTATTAAATCACACAAGTTTCAGGAGATTGTGGTCGCAGTGGAACCATTAGTGGGAGTGCAGTTGACGTGGCCGCCCGTGCCCTGACCTGGACGGCGACGATGTCGGCCCGGCTGGTGGCCATCTCCGCCTCGGAGCCCGCCAGCGTCCTCTCCACAGAGTCCAGCCGGGAGGCGGCCTGGCTGAGCCCCTCGCGGAGCTCGGCCAGACTGGACAGCACCTCAGGAACCGTCTGACCTGGAATCACGGGAGATAAGTCAGGTCAACTTTCACCACAACCGATCGTCAGTTATTGCACTGATTCAGCAGCTACAGGATTGACTATAAGTGCCATCCGCTCCGCAGGGAAGATGATGTCAAGAGAGTTTCAGCGCCAAGACCAGAACACTGTTTTGTTTTATGAGGTCTTGGTATTTCCGATTCAATTGGGGGTAAATTCAACGTTGTGAGATGTGAAGGTAGGTTAGATTAGGGGAAGAAGTTGGGCTTGTAGGCACAAGCACGACAGCCGGATCAACCGGATGCCGTATCAAACGTTTGCGGTCATTGATGGCAAGTCTGCTTTATAGGGCTACCTGGTTCAAGTCTGTGTGAAAGTTGAGATTCTTTATCGTCAAGTCTGTGTGAAAGTTGAGATTCTTTATCGAAGGGCTAGGTCCCACGGATCCCAAGGATCTTACTAGGATTCCTGGTTGAGATGCCTACCTTCTCGCGTCAGGGTCCGTGTGAGATTTGTTATCGAAGAGCTGCCCGTGCTGGCCGTCCCGCCGACGCTGAGCACATCTTTCTCCGGCCTCTGAAGTGACGCCACGATGCTAGGAAGCGATCCTCGCTTTGGCTGCGGCTGACTGGCCGGCGACAGCGGTGGAAACCCATCCGCTGGCGTTGCTGTCTGCTGGCGAACATCGGAGGCTGAGGTGGTGGCGACGGCCGCCAGGGGGCTGTCCGAGCGCCGCGGCAGCACGATCTCCGGCATGGTGGTGTTGAGTCGCCTGACTACGGAGCAGCGCGAGGAGGCGAGGGACGAGTCCGACTCGCCGCTGGAGCTGTACTCGTAGGCAGAGCTGAGCCCGCCGCCACCCGACGGCCTGCGGAAAGAACATCAAATTGACTGGCTTTACTGGGACTGGGAGGTGAACTGTTCAAAAACGTCAGACCTGACGGTGTCAAAAATACCTAACTGTCGTCCTGCTCAAGGAATTTTACTTTCCTTCCACTGAATGGTTTTTAGCACAGTTTTGAGAGACATTATGAATATAATAAGAGATATTAACCTTACTCTCATATTAGCCAAAAGATATAAAATTTCAAAAAGACAAAATACAGTTTCGGGAGCTTTCGGCTTTGCGCCTTTATCAACCGTTATCATAACGGTTGATAAAGGCGCAAAGCCGAAAGCTCCCGAAACTGTGTTTTGTCTTTTTGAAATTTTATATCTTTTGGCTAATATGAGAGTAAGGTTAATATCTCTTATTATATTTCCTTCCACTGACTTTAAATAGAGGGTCAGTAAAACTGAATTGACCTTAGACTGAGGCCAACCATATGAAAAAAAAATTTAAAATAACGTTTTATTTATCTGTCACCGTCATTAATCACTAAAAGTTTGAAGCCCAATCATTCAGTTGGTCAGGTCGGTCACATCAGGTTGGTAGACTTACTTGAGAACCTATAAAGCTGGGTTGAGCTGCTCTGGCCTTTTGCATAGCATCATTACCTAGATTGAAAAGCGTATATTTCGTTTTCATTTGCTAAGCATAGCAGTTTATATGTAAACGGTTTATGTGGTGGAAAACGTAACAGAGATAACCGAGATTAAACTATTCCTGTCAACAGTTTTTTATGAAACAATACCCTTTAACGGTCTGTGGGTGTCTGACGGCGTTTTGATGACGTGATGGGCCTCTGAACTGCCACCAGAGAGCCGTCTGGTGGCGCCTTTCACTGCTGTTTAATGACTCGGGAACCTAATGATCTCCTCCAGTATCCTCAACACGCGTCCCCCGGAGGGATGAGAAACCCCGACCTCCTCCCTTCATCCCGACTCTGAATGAATTACCGTAACCCGAATAGCGTGCTTAACCCTATTAGTGGCAGGGGGGGTTGTTTTCATCCACCCCTCAGGTTTTTCGGGAATATCTCCGAAACCGCTGAAGCTACGATGCTGAAATTTTCTGACTTTTCCTAAAACTAAATTGGGCACATTCCCTGAAAATTTCAAGTTCATAACTTTACCAAGGGCGGCTCCAGAGCACTGGGAATTGGGGGGTCCTATTCGTGAAGCGAGTCATTTGGGCGATGATCACGATGCTGATGTATTATAACTGTATGCACCAGTTTTATCATGTGATAACATATACAAAGTTATTGTGCATCCTCTTTTGACACGTTTTTGCTATAATAGGCGGATCCAGGCGTCCAAAAAGGGGGGTTATGTTTTACCTCCCAACATAGGTGCCCTGACACCGCCTATGCATGACCAATACAATTGTAGTCGTTCTCTCATAAGAAAATTGTAACATAACAAGACCATTACCACCCTTTTTAGAAACAGTACCAACAAAAACCTTATTTACTATACCTTTTGTGTACCCCCAATCTCAATGATCTGTATCCGCCTATGATTTTTGAAAATGCATATTTTTAGGATCCATGTGAATTCCTGGTTCATTCTCTATCGATCGGCAAAAGTTGCGTTAAGATTGGTTCAGAAACCTGGCCGTGATAAACAGTCTAAAATGTATCTGCAATTTGCCCGTTTTTACCCCCCTCAACCCCCCTTTTGACATTTTCTTAATTTTTATTTTTTAGAAATGTAGATCACGTTGAGCGAAGTCGAATGCCGTTTGAATTTTGAAAATCGGCCCGTTAGATCTCGAGATATCAAGGGGGGTCGTAAACAGCCCCCCCCCCCCTGCCACTAATAGGGGTAGCCAGGAGCCTGCCACTAATAGGGTTAAAACAATAAATTGATTTGTCCTGGGAAACAAGGCCGTTGGCATAGCGGTATTTGAATTCTAGAGGCGAAATTAACATGGTGGGTCGGCGTGACGCCATGGCTCCAAGGAGCGGAACCGAAATGTGACTGATACACGCACGTCGCTCGTAAAAACGAGCTCGCGTGATTTCTTGTTCAGACATTACGTTAGGTTTCATGGCAGGGCTAAGCAGAACGACCAAATTAGTGGCGTTTGTGCGCTATGCGAGGCCTAGAACGATTTTCGCTGTTGACTTCAGCTGTTTATTTGATTGTTTATTTATTTGATTGTAAAAAGTAATCAAAAGCTAGGATGTTATCTCGTAAATGACAATGACAAAAGAACCGTGGAACATTTATCACTCCGTCAAAAAAAAAAAATGCAATTCAAATGCAGCTCCACACAACCTTGTGGGAAACCATACGCATGATAAGTTTGAACAAGTACACCTAATTTAGACGCCATCATGATCTATGATCTATGACGTGTCCACCAAGTCAAACGAATAAAGATAATAAGAAACGCTATTTATTGTGACGAAGAATTTCCACTAGAGACAAGGAGAGACGTTCACAATTTTATTTGTATCTTATCTCGGTCCAAAACCAATACCTTTGTCATAATTCATATCACTTGGAAACCGGTCATAGTCATTTAGGTTGTTTGTGCCAGCTCTTGTTACCAAGCGCAGTTGAAGCTAGTCAACCTCGCCTATAGCAGGGTGCTCTTATCGGTCATCTGTCTGCCTATGAGAGATCGGGTAAGACCTCACTCCGAAAGGTCAGGTGAGGTCAGAGGCTGGGTTTCTGGCTCTGGGGGGGGGGGGGGGTCAGGCAGGACGCAGGTGTCTGTCTGGGTAGGTAAGGCCAGGTCTGTGTAGGTCAGATGCCAATCTGAGGTCAGATGTCTGCCTGAGATCAGGTCTCTGTCTTGCTGAGGTCAGGTGCCTGTCTGACTGAGGTCAGATGTCTGCCTGAGGTCAGGTGTCTGTCTGCCCGAGGTCACGTGTCTGTCTGGCTGAGGTCAGCTAGCTGCCCCTGCTGTCGGCCACCGGCCCGGTCGTCGGTATTGATCAGACCATCGGGTCTGGGCGGCAGCGATTAGGCGCCATCCCGCCGCGGTGCCAGGTGGAGCCGGGCACCGCCCCCGCCCCCGCCCGCGCCCATGGCACCGCGCGGCGCCGACAGGCCGGTCATCCCTTTCCCACCGCACCGCCCCCGTCATCGCCCAGAGAAAACGCTCCATTGGAGCCGATTCATCTGCCAGCAGTGAATCACACCATTTGGTGAGGACCGTTCATTGAGTTTTTCTGAGACGGAATCCACAAAATGTCGTCGATTCAAATAAGTTCGCCACGCGCCCGGTGAAAAGTCGAGCAGATGACAATGGTCGGAAATGACCAGCAAAGTCGCTTACAAATTGAGCCGTTTAAATTTGCTATAGCAATGAACAGGGAAAGGGAGATATTTGAAAGAAATGCCTCATTACGTATTTTGAAATACCCTAGATAATAAATAGGTATGCTCAATGGGCGATGCTATATATGACGAAAACTGAGCCACACCACCGAAATTCCAGCTTTATTTACTAACTATTGACAATGGATCACATAAATAATTGATAGTGATTTTGGATATCACGAGCCATCAATTGGCAAATGAGTTTGCTTCTCAATTGTAGGTAAGCGTACGCATTGTGATCAATTTTTCTATGTAATAAACTGAATCGTGACGTTTATCAGGGGCAGTCGAAACCATTTCGCCAGCACAAATTATTCGGTGACCCGACGACTTCGTGAAATAAAAGAGCATGCTCGTTAATTATTTAATCAAACGTCACAACTCACAAGTCATTAGCTCTACATCAGCATATGCTCAGGCAAACTACACTTCTAACTATATACCAGGCACATCTACAAGGCACTTCCTTGTATATCATCACTGCCAATACCTCTACGAGTACAGTACGGACTACGGACCTTGATTACATCAGTATCTACCATGCATACCGAGTCTACGTACTACAAACTCACGTTACCCTACCACTCTTGTGCAACTAACTACGTGTCTCAAACGAGCTCTATCAAAGCCAGTGGCGGCGGAATAGGGGGTGCAGGGGGTGCAGCTGCACCCCCATAAAAAAACATGGGGGTGCAAACATATCTTTTTGCACCCCCAAAATCCGCACAAGGGGCCCGTCGCACCATCCAATACATTTTCTCCTGAAAACCAGTGATCGAGAAACGAACATTGATGTGGAATCATCCGGGATGTCCAATTATGGTCAGGAGCGCCCCTATGCTAGTCTTTGGGGCCCCCACACCGACTAGAAGTGTTCCGAGCCGCGTTTGGTGCTCCATGCGGCATCTGAGGGCCCCCACGACGGCCTCAGAGGGCCCTTTTATGACGATCTCTGAGGGCTCCCACGACGACCTCTGTCCCCAAGGGCCCTACAACGGCCACTAAGGGCCCGCATGACGACCGCTGAGGGTCCCACAGAGACTCTAGGGCCCCAAGGAGACTCCAGAGGCCACGCTGGCCTCTGAGGGCCCTATGACGGCCTCTGAGGGCCCTATGACGGCCTCTGAGGGCCCTTACGATCTCTGAGGGCTCTCACGACGACCTCTGTCCCCTGGGGCCCTATAACGACCACTAAGGGCCCTCATGACGACCGCTGAGGGTTCCACAGGGCCCCAGGGGCCCCGCTGGCCTCTGACGGCCCTCGTGGCTTCCCTAGACCCAACTCAAGTCTGAGGGCCCATTTGGCTTCAGACGGCCCAGCGACGGCCTCTGAGGGCCCCAGGCCCCCAACATAACCAGGTTGCAGGGGCTATGCTGGCATCTCAGGGCCCTGCAACGGTCTATTGAGGGCCCTAACGATGGCCTCTAGTGGTCTTACCAAGGCCTCTGAGAGCCCTGCAAAGGTATCTTGGGGCCCATGAAGACCCGCACTATGACCAAGAACCCTCATGACGACCTCTGATAATCCTCTCGAAGGCTGCTAAGGGCCCTCACAACAACTTCTGAGGACCCAAGGATGGTCCCTGAGGGGCTGAGGGCCCTGACGACGACCTCTCTGGGCCCTCACAATGGTCTCTAAGACCCAACGCAAGCTCCAAAGGCCCACGTTGGCGTCTGAGGGTTCCACGACGGCCTCTGAGGGCCTCGACGCAGGCAGGCTCCAGGGGCCATGCTGACCTCTGAGGGCCCTCTTGACGGCTTCTAGGGCCTAACGAAGGCTTCAAGGGCCAACACTGGCTTCTGAAGAACCCTACGACGGCCTCGGATGGTCTCACCTCAACGCAGGCAGGTGCCAGGAGACATGCTGGCCTCTGAGGGCCCCGCAGAGTTCAGATTCAGAGGACCCAACCCAACGACCTTTGCGGACCTTACGAAATACGAAGGTCTCCGAGAGCTCACGCAGGCTCCTGGAATTCCACACTGATTCTCAGGCCCCATGCCAGCTTGTTGAGGCACTTTATCTGCTCTTGGTGCCCCGTCGCTGGCCTCTGAGAGTCTCAATGTCGGAACTTATGGGGCCATGGGCCCTACACCGGCTTTTATGGCCCCTACATCGACTCTTGGGACTCATGACCCATGAAATGTGGGACTCAGCGGCTTCTAAGTCCTAAGAATCCCCATGCTGGTTCTAAGCCGCCAGCCGAATATTTGGGCTCACACGCGAGCTCCTGGGACCCCGTGCATATCACAGGGGTCTACCTGCCTCTAAGATCCCACACATACTTTTGGGGCTCAAACGCTTGCCCCTGAAGGCCCCACTGAGACCCCTTTCCTCTATTCAGTCCTCCATACCGGCTCCTTAGGCTAAACATCGGCTCCTGTGGCCTCCATCCCGGCATTGGAGGGCCTCCATACAGGCTTTTTTGGGGTCCGATGCCGGTTTCTGAGAGCCCTCAAAAGACTTTCGAGCCTATACTGCCTTCTGAAACCTTTCAGCAACTTTCAAGGGACCGACCCTGATCGGAGGGCTCATTCAGTCTGGGGAGTCATGTAGGTCTCTGGAGGAGTCTCTATGTGGTCGGTTTCCAAGGGGCTTCTAAACACGGTCTTCTTGGAACGGTCTCGTAGGGCCCTCAATGGTCCACTGCGGATCTAGGAAAGTGGATTGAGACGCTGCGGGTGGTGGCTAGACTAAAAGATTAGCCGATAAAACTAGCTGCATTTGCTTCCTAATTATTTGAGATAGGTATGTACACTGCAATTTCAAACCTTTTACAGAACTTGTGTGTATGGGGATAGTTTTCCAAAATCTTCGTTTTGCATAAATCAATAATAATCACTAAAAAAAAAATGAAGGGGGGCCCAAAACTTCCAGAGGGGCCCCTTGAGAAAACTTTGCACCCCCATCCAAAATTACCTTCCGCCGCCACTGATCAAAGCACGATCAATACAAGCTCACTAATGTTATGGCTAATCACAGTGAAAGGCTGGCCCGCCCGAAATTTGAACGGACAGGCTCTCAGCACCAGCTGGTGTGTGACATTTCTAGCACACATTCTACAATACAGCATGCCTCGCGTTAATATGTATACCACACTTCAACGAGCATTCTCCAACGTTAGTAGGCAGTGCACGAAACGGCAGCACTGTGTTAGCATCACACCACACATCAGTAAGCCATGTTTCCATCTACAGAACGGATTTCAGCAGTTTCCTACGGCATGCATTCTCGGAGCCGGCAGTGTAGTGCCCGGTGCGATATAGGGCAAACACAATAGCTACTAGCCAGTAGCCAGCGGCACCCTCCTCCGGGTCAGTACTGCCCGAATCACACCGAAGGAAGAGCATTGAACTGACTGGTCCCACTGTCCACCCACAAACAAGCACACACTCGGGTGAGAGTTAGTGGACAACGGTCGCCGACACACCCCGCACCTGCCGCTGCTGGTGCCGCGCGCCGGCCAGTCCAGCAGGCACGGCTGGCTGCTGCTGGTGATACCGCTCGGTTCCACCAGCAGGCTGCCCTGCTGGCCGGGTGTCGGGCCCGGTCGGATGGCCGGCCGCGGCCGCTGGCGGGCCCGGCCCCGCGGCCGGCGACCTGCGCCCTCTGGCAGCGGCACAGAGGCCGGGTCCACTGAGGGGCCGGCGCCGCGGTCACCGCCGCTCACCGCACTGGCCGTCTGGGGTCAGAGCAGGGGTCAGAGGTCAGAACAGGGGTCAGAACAGGGGTCAGATCAGGTCAAAGCAGACACCAGAGGTCAGGAGAGGTCAAGAGAGTCAGAGGTCGGAGGTCAAGAGGGTCAGACGTTAGCAGGGTGCAGAGGTGAGCGGGGGGTAGTAAGAGTTCGAGATGAAAACAGTTTGGACGAGATTACCTGGTGGAAAAGGCATATCTGATGAATCCGGACCGGACAGCATATGCTAGGAGAGGGTAAGAACAGATAAGCCAAGAGGTCATTTAAAGAGAGGCGAAAAGGTCAGACAGGGTTATCTATAATGGGGAGAGAGGGGAGAATGTATGCGAGGCGAGGACGCCGTCTCTCCCTATAACTTAAACGCAAAGCAAAATATCACCGCGCACGACGCATAACCTCGACAGCGTGAACACTTTCCGCAGCTGTATGTGACGTGGTTAAGTGGCGGAGAAGTTGGCACTGAAAGAAGGTTGGGTGCATGTCCTCTGTAAGTTATAAAACAAGAACGAAGAATACTGCCGTCTTTATCCGACCTAGCATTTTGACTGAGCTACATCGTCTACCATCAACGGCAACAATATTGGCGACGACAGCTCCATTATATTTTTATGTCGCGGTCTTCGCAAGCTGGCCTTGCGGGACGAACTGGAAAAGTTGGGGAACGAGCTGGCCTTACAGCCCTTGAAGTGCTCTTTTCAGTTCAGTCCCACTCTATGTCGTTTTTATACGTGATTCACGATGCCAGCATTTCGTTCCTCACCACAGACCCTGACACCTAAATTCTGCACTGGTTTAGTTGCGGATTTCTACAGCAGCGCTCCTGTTCTCTGCTGTCGCCATCGGCTGTGTCCCCTCCCCGCCCTCACCTGTTCCCCGGTGGTTATTGCGCTAACGATGCTATCGTCATCTGCCTCTAATTAACCCAGCGGCTCGGCGGCCGGCGCGCCGTCCCATTTTCTCCCGTTTATCTGACGGCCGCGCGGCGCCGACGGTATCGAAAGCGACATCGTCGTCAGAGGCATCGATCCCCTGGCGAACGGCGTGCTGGTGGGTCACAATCGCCGGTCGCCGCCGCCGCCGCCGCCGCCCCGGTCCGGCCCGCCGCGCCCAGAGCTGTTACTCGCCTCTGCTCCGAGCTGCAGCGGCGCGCCGCGCCCGGTCGCCTCGGGCGCTCCCCGGCCGGCAGCAGCGTGCAGCTTACGGAGCCAGTCGCTCAGTTCAGCGGCCGAGTCGGCGGCGAAAACGTGCCGGGCCTGGGGAGCAGCGGGAGGGCACGGGAGGGGAGGGAGGGAGGTGAGCGCTGGCCGCCGTCTCCTGAAATCAATGCACCGCTACGAGACTCGACAGGCCGACCGCTGAATGAGCTTCGACTGCCAGTCCGGCTCGCCACCGCAGTCGAGCCGTTTCATGGGATGAATTTCGAGAAGCCGAGCCTTGTAAATTCACCAGAACTGGGTCAGGCGACACACGGATATTTCAGCATGTCTTAGTAAAATGGATGCCGAAATATATCAAATTGAACTCTGTCGCTGCGTCGCTCGGCTCCACAGAGAATTCATGGCACGGCACATCAATAAAACAACCGCGGGCTTCTTGGACCAGCCACCGGACTCCCCTCACTTCCCTAGCCGCTCCCAGAAACCCACCACCTCGTTCGTAGTGCCCTCGGGTCGAGAGAGCACGAAGGCGTGGGTCGTCTTCTTCGTCTGTTTCTGCGCCATCTCCTTGCATTGTGAGAACACGGAGAGCTCGATGTGACCCACCGGCCTCTCGGGGCCGGAGTCTCCCTGAAAACGAACGCCGTCAGTGCAACCGATAGCAGTAACACCACTGCAAGTACCAAGCTGTGATTTAATGTTACCGCTTGAAAGGGCGTTGTTTCAAAAGTGCACGTGAACTGGTCATTTATTTGTTAAGTGAATTGAATGTTCTGCTTTTTGGGTCCGGTGGCGTGAGGCCCTGGCAAGAAGGGAAGATGGAAGATTGCTTGGGGCTTAGGGGCATCTGGGAGGAGTATGACTTATGAGAAAAGTGATTGTGTGGAAGACTCGTGTGGAAAAGGCGTAGGCCGGCTTTGGTGATCCGGTGATTCTTAGTGTCAATTGTGATTACTGATCATGTTTGTTCATTAATACGAAAGATAACTTATCGGACAGTTTTGGTGTCGAAGAGATCAAAGGACGATAAATCTAATCAAATTTCTACAAGCTATTTCGGCATTCCTTTTCGTTTCAGTCATTATTTCAATTCAACTATGGCAAGTTTCGATGTGAGATTGATCCCAGAATTCGACGGTACTGGGGATGTTGTCGACTGGATCGAAAAGGTGGAAATGGTATGCAATCTTCAGCAACCGGCTGCAGATCAAGTGGTAGTCATACCACTGCGATTGAAGGGTGGCGCTTCTGCTGTTTATCGGCAGCTGCCTGAAGTGGACAGGAGAGAGGCGGTTAAAGTAAAGGCGGCTCTGCGACGCGCCTTTGCCGCTGATAAATACACTGCGTATGAAATGTTCAGCGCGCGTCGGCTGGGCACGGGAGAATCGGTAGATGTGTATTTGGCAGACTTGCAACGGCTGTCAACCCTCTTTGGAGGGCTCTCCGAAGAAGGGATGGGATGCGCGTTCGTTGCCGGCCTACCCGAATCTGTGAAGCAAATGCTACGGGCCGGCGCTCGCATGGAGTCATTGACTCTATCTGAAGTCGTGGATAGGGCCAGAGCCATCCTACGGGAAGACTGCAAGGTACCCGATATAACGGCTATGGTGGTGCGACGGGGAAGAGACGGCCAAGAGCAGCACTTCAATGGTGGGAGGAAGGAGCGAGGGCCGTGTTACGCGTGCGGTCGTCTGGGACATATCGCGCGTGAATGTCAGGCGCGTGAAGGAAACGGTCCAAGCATGGTGAGATGTTTCCGGTGCAACAAGCGTGGGCATATCGCGGCTCAGTGCCCGGAAAACGAGGAGCGAGAGGCGGTCCATGCGCCGGCCTCCTCTCGGGACTGAGATGGAACGGCGCGCTGCCGGTGAGGGAGCTATCGATGAACGGAGTTGACTGTGATGTCTTAATTGACACGGGATGTACTCGCACTGTGATTCATTCGTCACTCTGCGCTGTTTGGGAGAAGCGGGACGTGTACGTGCTGACGGCCAACGGGGAGAGGCTGGAATGTGCGGGTACGGCTGGTGTTCGTGTGCAGGTTCCGGGGATGGCACCAGTAGTTGTTGATGCACTTGTGGTTGCTAAGAAGCCGCTGGGATTCAGTGCGATTCTCGGCATGGATGGAGTGAGGGCTCTCGGGGGAGTAGCGGTGCGATCGCCCTCTGAGGTAAAGTTCGCCGGCGAGAACGAAGCATGTGGCTGTGTGGGGGACCCGCAAGATCTGACTGTTGATAAGGAAGACTTCCGTGTCGTTTTCGCTGCGGAGCTGCAGCGCTGGACAGTGGAATGGAAGTGGTCCGGTGAGGAGCCACCAGTTCGCCTCAAGAATGGAGTGAGCGAGTATACTGTGCCGGATGAGGTCAGAAAGGACTATGAAGAGGAGATTGAGACCTGGATCAAGAACGGATGGCTACTAGAATACGATGAAGAAAAACACGGTCCCCCGAAAGGCCTGATTCCACTCATGGCAGTGGTCCAAGAGAATAAAGGGAAGGTGCGACCCGTGCTTGACTTCCGCGAGATCAACACATTTGTCGACACGTACACGGCAGATGTTGATGTGTGTGACGAGAAGCTCCGCGAATGGCGCCAGATGGGAGCGAACGTAGCGCTTCTGGACCTCCAGAAAGCATACCTTCAGATACATGTAGACGAATCTCTGTGGCCTTACCAGACTGTCGAGTACAAAGGAACAAGATACTGTCTGAGTCGACTTGGATTTGGCCTGAACATCGCACCAAGGGTGATGAAGACAGTCCTCGAGGCAGTGGTGAATCAAGACGAGGACGTGGCAAAGGCAGTGTCATCATATGTCGACGATGTCTTGGTCAATGAGGATGTGATGTCCGCGGAAAATGTGAGCAAACATCTTCGAGCCTTTGGGCTGCAGTGCAAGGAACCAGTACGACCAAAAGAAGGCGCTCGGATTCTCGGTCTCCGAGTTCAGGAAGAGCATGGCAACCTCAAATGGAAGAGGGACAACGACGTCCGAGAGATCGACGGGCCGGTGACGAAACGCAAGGTGTTCTCGCTTTGCGGCCGTTTGACAGGACACCTTCCGGTGTGTGGCTGGCTGCGGCCAGCGGTGTCGTTCTTGAAGCGAAAGGCTAATGAAGCGGCGGACGCTTGGGACGACGTCATCGAGGACAGTTTAGTGAATGGGCTGATCGAAGAGATAATGACGCAAACTAACACAGATGACCCAGCGAGAGGTCAGTGGGACGTCAAAGGGAACGAGGTGACGGTCTGGGCGGACGCCAGCATGTTGGCCTTGGGAGTGGTCCTCGAGATCGAGGGCGAGGTGGTGGAGGACGGATGCTGGCTGCGACCAAACGACGGAACACATATCAACATGGCAGAACTTGATGCCGCGCTGAAGGGCGTCAACATGGCCATCCTCTGGGGTGCTAAGAGAGTTCGACTGATGACGGATTCGCGTACTGTGTACCACTGGATCACTGACCTCCTGAGCGGCAAAGCACGGTTAAAGACGAAGGCCGTCTCGGAAATGCTTATCAGGCGAAGGCTGAGTACACTGAAGATGCTGGCCGACGAGTACAGCCTGGAGATCAGCGTTCACAGCGTGGCCTCTGCTGACAACAAAGCTGATAAGCTCACCAGAGTGCCGGAGCGGTGGCGAGACACGCGTGCAGGCAGCGGTCCGGCTTGCATCATGGCGGGTGCAGAAGGAGACGAAGATGAAGCCGGGCTAGTGAAGGAGGTGGAGCGGGTGCATCATGCCGCTGGACACCCAGGTGTCAGAAGAACTTTGTACTTTTCCAAGAGGGCAAACTTGCGGGTCACCAAGCGTATGGCACGATCTGTTGTATCAGCTTGTCAGACGTGCCGGTCGATCGACCCGGCACCGGAGAAGTGGACTGGCGGACAGCTGTCGGTAGACATTGTCTGGGAGCGCGTCGCAGTTGATGTCACGCACTTCCAGGGGCGCCTCTATCTGACGATGGTGGACTGCGGACCATCAAGGTTCGCGATTTGGCGCCAGCTGCGATGTGAGAGCGCGGCGTACGTCACAGGGGAGATGTCATCGATTTTCTACGAGAGGGGAGCACCTTCAGAGCTGCTGGCCGATAATGCTACCGTATTCCGCAGCCGCGCATTTCAGGCATTCGTCCGTGAATGGGGCACCCGGGTGCGGTACCGAGCAGCGTACGCACCATCGGGTAATGGCATCGTCGAACGAAATCACCGCTCCGTGAAGGTGATTGCTGCGAGGAAGGGATGTGGCGTGCCGGAGGCGGTGTATTTGTACAATGCGACTCCGAGGGACGACTCGACCGACGCAGCAGCCCCTGTCAGCATGGTGTACAAGTACACAGTGAGAGTCAAGGCAGTGGATCCGGTTCAGCCCGCTGAAGAGCCCGAGCCAGATACATGCAGGTACAGCGTGGGAGATGCGGTGTGGGTGAAATCGGCGCGGGGGCGATGTGACGATCGGTACAACAAGGGAGTGGTGACTGGGCGAGTGTCACTGCAGACTGTGGAAGTGGATGGGGTGCCAAGACATGTGCGCCACCTGCAGCCCCGTGAGGCGCACGTGGAACAGCCTCAGAGTGATACTGCAGATGACGAAGGGCCGCTCCTTGTGCGTCTCCCAGAGGAGAACCGGGAGGAGATGGGTCAGGGAGAGGGACAGTGCCGGCGGTCCCAGCGGCAGGTGCGGGCTCCCATGCGGTACGGTTTCGATCAGGATCGGGGAGGAGTGTGATTTAATGTTACCGCTTGAAAGGGCGTTGTTTCAAAAGTGCACGTGAACTGGTCATTTATTTGTTAAGTGAATTGAATGTTCTGCTTTTTGGGTCCGGTGGCGTGAGGCCCTGGCAAGAAGGGAAGATGGAAGATTGCTTGGGGCTTAGGGGCATCTGGGAGGAGTATGACTTATGAGAAAAGTGATTGTGTGGAAGACTCGTGTGGAAAAGGCGTAGGCCAGCTTTGGTGATCCGGTGATTCTTAGTGTCAATTGTGATTACTGATCATGTTTGTTCATTAATACGAAAGATAACTTATCGGACAGTTTTGGTGTCGAAGAGATCAAAGGACGATAAATCTAATCAAATTTCTACAAAGCCAAAATGGCATTGAACTAATTAACTCAAAAATATCACCAAGCACTCAGCAGATAGTCATATCCACTCGCGGCTTTCATGAAGATAGCTTCATGGATTGGTTGAAATGATTTTTGTGTGCTCTGGTAATCTTTTTTACATTTTACTGTGGTCTAAAGGTAAAAAGTCAGCTCGATAGCCATAAAATTATCTCTCAGCCTGTAAAGAGTTTATCACGACACATCCACTTCATTTAACGAATAGCCCATCCTCCCCAAAACTACAACAGGAACGAAAAGGTCAGCCTTCCTGATGCCTGGTAAGGTCAAAGACCGATAAAAGGTTAAGGCGATATACCATCATCCCATTACAGTTTAGGTAAGAGTTAAGGATGAATAAACGGTAACACTAAGCGTGCTCCAGAAAGTCCCCTGCAAGCTGTGCTGAAGAATATCCCTATTGATAATAAGCCAAAGAATAAAAGGCAAGGAGCAAGACGCAAAAAAGCACAAAAAGCAATGAGCTGTAATAAAAGGCAATGAACACTTGAGCTCCGAGTACCTGGGTTTTGTAGATGTAGACGATAGAGTGTCGTGTTGGTGAAGTGTACGTACCTCGGTTTTGTACAGATAGATGTAGACGTTCGTGAGCTGTCCGTACCTCGGTTTTGTAGATGTAGAGTGTCGTGTTGGTGAGCACACACAGCCTCTTTTTCCAGCAGCGCGGGTAGAGCCGTCCCCGGGAGCTGAGTTTCAGCAGCTGCCCCGTCTTCAGCACGTTGCGCAGAGAGGACGCCGGGGGGATGTTCTGTGGGGCCAGAGCGAGCTGTGAGTTGTGAGCACTCAGCACGAGGGCACATCTGTGACCACTCAGCACTCACACGCCGAGTATGAGTGCTGAGAACGCAGCGTCCATCGAGCTAGCAGCGTGTGAGCTCGATGGACGCTGCGTGTCATGCCGTGGATGTTTGCGAAAACAGCCCCGTTCTCGGTTGGCATGCATTTATGTATTGATTTTATAATTGTGGTTTGAATGATCGGAAGGGTGGTGTTGGAATCCTGGGTATCCGCCAAGCATAGGTAGACTGTTGTAGCGTGGCAGCACGAGAGTCGAACGAGTTTTGTCATTAACATCACCATTTATAATTTTGATGGTGGAATTAAATTCAATGATATTCGCAAACGTCTAGAGCACCCAGACGTAATGAAGCATAATCTGTCATTTTGTGGCATCTCGATGTTTTGATTTATGTTTTCCGTCAGCGGCCTGTTTAATTAGAGCAGCCAACATTAGCGGTAACTAATGGAGACGGGCCATATGAGCCCGGGCGGCATATTAAATGCCTTTAGCACTTAAATACATCGGGGCGAGGGCGGCCCAACAGCCGCCTTTTGAGGCGGGCCCGTCAGTCACTTGGACGGCAGTTGTTCATTCGACGACTCTACTGGAGACCAGTTTCACAGCAGAACGGTGAGATTAACTGTCCGTAATCGTCATCGCCAGATGCCAGAAAGGAGCAAAAGCTGCTGGCTTCATAAAATCGAAGCCCACATACGGCGAAAAGTTGAAAAGGGAACCATTCTTACCAGGATCATAAACAGGCATGGGCAATGGACATATCAATACGTTTTCGTAACTCGGCAGTCGACAATAAAATACATAGGACATACCTACTCATATGCAGAGCAATGCTATGTAGCGTTATGTTCATTTCCTCACTAAATTGTACAGGCTAAAAAGTGATTATGGTTGGATCAAAAAAGGTGTTCGGTGCAATATCATTTGATTCGTCGAACTGATTTTGAATAGAATCATCGACCTGCGACTAGACTAGACTCATGACTGTGTAGCCGATGGATATCCCTACCATAATAAAACATTTACATTGTATTGTTTTGTATTGTATTGTATTGAACAATCATGAGCGATCCACATTCTGAAAGTGCGTGGCAATTACTGCTCATTGGTTTTCAATAACCGTCAACGAAGTTTTGATGCTGTGAATAGCTATACGAGTATGCTGTGAAAGCTATATGTTTTGATGCTGTGAATACCTATACGTATGAGACATTCGTTAGTGTGAAATGCACGATACTCAGCAAATTTATTTCCCATTTTTTTGGAGGGCGGTGTTCTATTCGGCAGCGTTCGGTCGATCGGTGACCGTCGAGCTCGGGGGGGGGGGGGGGAGAGAATGGAGGACCATCGGTCCTGCGGCCGGCCTCGCCGAGTGACATCGCCACCGTCCCAGTCTAAATGGCTGATAGAGGTCCAGAAATACCCAGCCGCGCCTCCAGCCGTCCCCAGCGAGCCCTGACCGAGCCACGCCGAAATGACCGGAGCCCCACTGGAACGAGCCCCGGCCATGACATCAGCATAGATCAGACAGGGAGAGGGGCGGGGCGGGGTGGGGCAGGGAGCGAGGCTTGGAGAGGTGCATTGGGAAGGACCCATGTGAACTGACTGTCTGATATAGGCAGTGTTGTACGAGATACCTGAAGAAGGACGATGCTCAGTCGTGAACAATCACCAACGCAATGAAATTCTCGAAAGGTGCAAAATGCTTTACGAAAGCCATGGGATTCGCGTCAGGCATAGACGCTTTCCAGTTTCGAGAGAGTGAACTGCTGAATATGTTTCATTCTCAATTACTTGCCTAACCGATTTTGGGAGCGAGCTACCTCCAGCACAAAATCAACACGTCAATCCAATGCTTTATCTCTACTGAGAATCGCATTGGAAGGAGCTCTTTTTCGGCACTTCTCTCTCCGAGCGCAGGCAAATATTGGCATAGAGTCAACGCAGACGACCCCTCTAACGGCCGGCTAGTTACCGATAACGGCAAATAGGATAGAGGTAGGTACAGGCAGGGTCAGTGGCGGATATTGAAAATAACTACCAGCATATGGATAGATGAATCAATAGACATTCGCCTGCAGGGTCGTTGAAAGCTAACGGCATAATGGCGACCGCTTAATTGTCCCGAGAAGCACCATGACATAAATTAGTCATCCAAGTATGTCCATTGAATACTATGCCACCTAAATATATGCAGGCTGGCACTTCTCCATGGATATGAGCGCTTTGGTGTGATTTGAATGCAAGATGATACAGCTCTCGGACGGAATGCTGCAATCATTCATGCAAATGCATCAAATGTAGCAAGTAGGCAGACAATTCAATTTTTAAATGGGACTTCGTGGCACACACATCGCGCCTTCTATATTGGAAACGAGTTTGAGTAATTATGTAGACATGAGCACAACAGCTGAAGCATTGGACAATCGAGCCCAAAAGTTTCATACACTGCTTATGCAATGCACATACATTCAGGGATACAGAAAACAGCGCTGTGTCACCAACGTATTAATTTCGTCTCCAAATTTCGCACGCTGACCGGCTGACCTCTGCTCGGCGGGGGCTGACTGTGTAGACCGTCTGCCTCTCCGCTGCATCCAACTCCCTCCCACCATCCGGTCGGCGACAGGCTCGGACTCGGACCGGCCCGCCCCCTGAGGTCGTGTATCAGCCGCGGGCCGCGGTCAGGGCCGGCCCGCCGGTGGGTGATCGGCAGCCGGGCCACCACTGACGACCTCTAACTCAGTTAGTCGGACCGGACCGACCCGCGAGCCGGCCCGACGGCCGCCGACTGCTGATCGGACCGCCGACAGAGCGGCGAACGGCGCAGAGAGAGCCGGGGGCGGTCGGAGACGCCGGCGGCACGACAGACTCCGAGCGGTGCCGTGTCAAAGGAGTTTCACCGCGGGCACTTACATCTCACGACAGTTGATGGAAGAGGCTCGGTCGGAGCTGTTTAGGAATGCATTTGATCTCAGATGGATTTGCGAAAGGCCTGGAGTGGCCTTCGTTGGCATTTGTTTCCTTTTGCCGACTCTGGTCAGGTGTGAGAGTTGATCCTTCAGTTACAAGTCATAAAAAGGCTTACATAGCCTTTTTTGCGATGATTCGCAATCGAGCAAGAAATATATGGCTCGGCGAACAGCTTGGTGTGCTGTTTATCAGCAAGCCCGCCTCAGCATACTCATGTGTCAGTCAGTTTTCCTGCCAATCACTTCTTGATAGTTCATCACCATCCACGTATTCTGCTGATCGCCAATACTCCAGCTGATTGACAATAATGTACCGCTATACAACCCGGCCTGTCGCTCTGTGTCACTCTGTCACTCTGCCCCCGCGCCCGCTCCTCCGGACGTATCTGTGTCAAACCGTGTCATTTGGTGTCACTCAGTGTCATTCTGTGTCACCGGGGGCGCTTCCGTCCGGCGCCGACGGCCTACCACTCTGTCCTGCCCTCCCCCCTCCGAGAGGAGCCCCCAGTGCTTTGTTAGCGGACTGCGGCACATGGCGCGCTATCGGCGCCGCCAATGCAGCACAGCAGCTTCTTTATAACGTTGAGAGGGCGGCACAAAGACGGACAATGAGAGACGGCCGCGCCGACTGCTGAAGCAGGAGCGGAGAGGACAGCGGGTATCCCAGAGACTGAGAGGGGCGGGTCCGAGGGCATCTTCACAGAGGAATATGCTGGAGATGCAGATGTGCATATAGATACTTCGGGGCGCACAGTGAAGCTAGCAACTGTGCATAATAAGTAATATCGTACAGCTACCAGATTGGCAAAACTAACTTTATGGAGTACAATTATACAAATTACATACGTAAGGAAATTTCCAGGTTTCCAGCAGAAAACATCCCGTGGAAAGGGTCAGGGACTCAATTTGTCGGGCCCTAGTATCGTCTTTACTGAGATGATGCTGATCAAACTCAGTCAGATCATCTTCCATAGATGTCTATTTCTACCGAGTTGGGGGTGCCCGGGCGCAGCAAATCCGCCGCCGCCCTAGCGGTGACCTTGACCCGCGCGGTCTGTTGAGGCTCCAGAGCCAAGCCGGCCGAGCCGGCTGGGAATTTGGAGAGCTCGGGCACCCCCGACTTGGCGGAAATGGACACCCATGTCATAATCCGTTCTAAAGAAAGCTTCGCGTAGCACCACATAACTGCTAACATAAAACGTGTGAAGCAGACTGGCAAGAGAGCTTCTGTTACTCACCATCAGACTCTCCTGTGATGTGCTCAGGTGGCGGGAGAGCCGCTGCCGGAGCTGCTCCTTTCTCCGCTGTAGCTCGGCCGCCATGGCGGCGCGGTCACGGCCGGGTCGAGGTCGCTGCACAGAGGCGATTCGAGCGTGACCGGTGCGGGGGGCGCCGCAGCCAGGGGCGCCCTCAGGGTGGGCGCAGCGCAGACACGAGCGGCGGGCGCCGATCGGCCGGCTGCCCACTGGAACGACAGGGGGCGGGGTCACTGGTCAGAGAGTAGGGGACAGGTTAGGGGCGGGGTCAGATGGTTGGGAATAAGATGGTTAATTAGTCGATTGATAAAATTCAAATGAAACCAGCTTTACACATCAGAGCCCTCCTAAATGTTCAAATCTTCCCAAACATTAAATAATTAATGTTTCCCGACATAACGAAGCCTACCACCAGACCAAATCTATGGACGAGTCCGAGTTTCCGTCAGCCATCCACAGCCTATCGCCAGAGCCCGGTACACTCGATGTCCCCCCCCCCCCCCCCCCTGATCAGTGGGGGATTCCCGGAGCCGTTTGTCTGTGTCAGCCTGCTCGCCGCTGACGGAGCCCTTCTGGCTCCCGCGCGGCAGCCTTCATACGGCCGAGAGCAGACTGATGATTCAGCTGACACTCTAATCGGATACACAGCGCGGCCAGTTCAGAGGGAAATTTATGAGACACCAAATTGATTTCATTGAAACCCCTCATAAATTTTATGAATGATACGAGTAACGTAAGTAAGTAACTTACGTCACTTACGAGTAAGTAAGTGACGAGTGCATAAATAACAAGCGGTACAGGTAAGTCCCCGAGTTTTCTAAGTCTACATTACGAAGTTAATATTTTCGTTTATTGTAGCTGCCTTTTGAGTTCTATCATATAATCGTCCATCTCAGCGCCACTGGCTAGCCTGTGGCACCATAGGCACAGGCTACTTCCCCTTTCTCTTTTTCGCCTAGCCACCCGGATCTTGAGCGGCAGCACCCATGACAACAAGCACACGTCCCCGGTGAAACAACTCTGGCCGCGTGCCACCCGGGCCGCGGCGGCGGGGGAGGGGAGGAAAGCCCGAGGCGCGGAGGGGAGGGGAGATGAATTCCACCGGAGGCAGCGCCCGCTCCAACCGACGAGCAATCGCCCACACCCCTCCCCTCCCCTCCCCAAGCGCCCGGCGACCGGCCGAGTCCTGCCCTGATTCACCACCGCGCCATATTTCTCTCTTACCACGCCTCACTTCTTTCTCTCTTTTCCCTTCCCCTGCCCCGCACTCTCACTCCCCCTTTCGCATAATCAGAATGCCTGCGTTGTTAGTGTCATAATCGGAATAGAAATCCAACCACGATATGTATATTGATTATTGATCAGCAATGAGAGTAGCTTACCGTATATAATTACGCGGGACAAACATATAAAAATAACATACGGAGATGATGCATTAGCTGCACTCGCGATGATTGAATAAGCTGAATAAGCTGTAGACTTTCGTACCAAGTTGGCCAAATGAATTTCCTCCCGGTTGTGATTATGTTCTCCTGCGGAAAACGACACATGGTTTTGATCGGTTAGGAACAGCTGGCAGGTTTCTGTGAGGCCGTTATTCTGATTTAGTGTGGCCACCACGTCACTCAGCGCACGCGTCACCTCCTGCCCAAACACACGGCCAACAAAAAGCGTTTTCTTTGGCCGGCGAAAATGCGGTACACGCCGTGTGATCACCGAAGCTGATTTCATGGGCTCCCCACGCGGCGAAATGGCTGCTGCAAGCGCCGACCTGCCCGCTGGCACGCTCCACCTGCCGCGACAAATATAGAGCCGCTATACCGAAACTCGCACCAAACTCCCCGACAGGTAGCCCGGAGTGGGCCACTCACCCACCGCAGTGAGACATCTCACCTCTCTCACCTGGTGATCTGACCGGCGCTGATCTCTGTGACGGCCACGCCCTGCTCCGACCCTCCGCGCACACCCCACGCCGCCGACTGGGCGCCGACGAGCGGCACAACCGGCGGCACCTGGCCCGTCGGTCGCGACGGGCCGCGGCCACGTGCGCCGTCGGCCGCGACGCGCCGCCGCCGCCGGGACCGACGGCACGCGGACCGGAAACTGCGCACCGCGCCACTGCAGAGCACGTGGTGCCGAGGGGTCCGAGATGCTTCGTAACCTAACCATAACGGGCGGACCGCCTGGCCGGCAGCCCAAGGCCGCCCTGGTTTGGCCCAGAGCCACTGTATCGCTGGATGGAGTTCAGTGTTCCAAATGTGCCTTGGCAATATAAAGGCTTGCGACAATCTATAGGTGTACATTGAAAGGGCTGGGGGCTGTATTTTGAAAGGGCTGGCTCAGAGGCAAAATAAATTGGTTACGCGCTGGGCCAGTGGCGCCGGGCCGTGCAGGTGGGAGGAGAAGGTGGTGTTTGAACACCTCCTGTCTAACTTGACTCCTGGGCTACGTAGCGACATGCGGTAAGCAGGGTTCGAAAGAACATCAAAAATTATCTAAGAAGTAATTCAGTAATTTGTTGGCCAGGTCAAAGTTCAAGTCACCAGAGGCCATCAAAGGTCAAACTTTGCCTATTTCAACAACTTTTGAAAGGCGCATAACTCGGGAGCAAATCGAGCTACAGCACCGAAGAAAGCGCATTTGATTTTTTTTTTACATTTCGCTTATAGAGTGAATCTGTAAATACTTCTTTAAGATTCACCTGAGACGCTGCCCCACTGCCCAGTGTAATAACAATATGCTGAATGCATTTTCCATCTTGACATCTTTGTTTTAACCCTATTCCTGGCGGGGGGAGGCCTCAGGAGCCCCCCCTGAGGTTTTTTGGTTATATCTCCCAAACGCTTTGAGCTAGGAAGCTCAAATTTTCTGACATTTTCTAAAAGGCTTTTACGCAACATTTCTGAAAATTTTGAGTTGAACTGACCTCAGGTCAGGTCACCAGAGGCGGTTTGGTGACCCCACCTCAGAAAAGTTTGCAATCACGCCAGAGCTAGAGTTTTTGACCGATCAATTTCTTCTCTTCAGGCTTTAGTTAGGGTACCAGTATGTGCAATTTGTATATCTCAGAATTTTCATACCTGTGACCTGAGGTCAGGCCAGACTCGTGACCTTTACATTGCAAGCCTATGGGAAAATATTGAAACGCCTCCTGCTTCGTGTAAACGAGTCAAAACCACCCAGTTCTTTCAGTATTATGGAAGATTATCTCATCGGTGATGATCCTGGTGCCGCTAATTGACAGGGGCACCGGCAAAGGTCATCTGAGGTCATGTGACGTCATAAATCGTTTTTCTGTCAATAAATCACGACATGATGGTGCTAAAGACTTGTAAGTGGTACCAAACTGCTCGCCTGGTCAAGGCGCGTCGTTTGATATGTGCAGCATGACCATACCCCACAACCTCATTGATGAATGACCTGACCTTGACCTCAGGTCAAATTCTAAATTGACCTGTGAAGGTCATCACATACTTATTTCGCATCGCCTCGGCGAGAGCAACAAAAAAATGTATTGGTTTTATGTCTCTATGTTTCTTAGTTTAAAAATTATATAGGTAACTAATTCCAAAACATTTTATCGTTGATGACCTCTGGTGACCTCAATATTGACCTGACCTGAAAATGTTGTATGCAAAAGTTGTAGATCTTTAATCGACCTATCAATCGCCGTTCGCCGTTTGTCGCTGCGATGTGTAGTTTTTTAGATCTGAAGGGGGGGGGGCCGAATCGGCCCCCCCCCCGCCAGTTTCTTGTCCCGGCGGAGCCCGCCAGGAATAGGGTTAAGTATCTTTTTACGCACTGTGCCGCGGATATTCGACTCTGACGCAGCACCCACCAATCAGCACCCGATATGACCGATCACCTGATCCATCCAACCAATCAGCTGAACATGCTCGGCGGGTGGCGGGAACGAATCGTTGGAATACGAGCGAATACACCGAGATAGCGCCGTTTGTTAACAATTTATTCTCGTTCTCGACTCGTTTTTTCGTTCCACCGTTTTACAAGTTGGGTGGGTGTCTAGTCGAAATGCATAATGAGACACTAGGCATGATGGTGCATAAAAAATGAAAATAAACACGACCTACACTAATGAATAAAATGCAGCTCTCAAGCGAACGTAATTTCGCTCGCGAAACATCAGGTCGCGACAGCAGACGAAACTAAGTGTAGAAGACTGGTATATACCGTGTAAGAGAACGCCCGGAGCTTCGTCACGTATCAACATTTTATCAACATTTTATCAACGTTTCGTTTAGTGTGACAGCATTACATTAAACGAAATTAACGTCATGTCTATCGACCGATTTAAATGTAACACACTACCCTCGTGCCGAAAATTTCGTCATCTTTTCATGTCGCTCTGGAGCGACACTGACATCAGACAGCCTCGTCGATAGCAGAATCACGTTCAGTCACTAGGAGTTTGGGCCACATTGCAGCGTCTGGGCCGGAGACGCGACCCGTCAATTAGGCCCCGTCACCGCCCTCCGCATACTTATCACTTGCTCCTCGGACTAACAGCACCTCTGTCAGATCATCGCCGGGCCACAGCTAGTCCTCCCTGGCTGCTGACGACGACGGCGGCGGGCGGGTGGCGGCGGGCGGGCGGCCGCGGGCGCGAGATTCGGACCTGCCGCCGCCGCCGCCGCCGAGACGATCAATCGAGGCTGTTGGGTCTGTGCGAACAGCTACAGGGCTGACCCGGCGGCCGGTATCGCCCCGTCAGCAGCTGGTCACGGCCGGCGGGGAACAGAGCCGAACGGTTACCAGAGCTGAGCCGAGCCGAGCCGTTACCAGAGCAGAGCCGAGCCGTTACCAGAGCAGAGCCGTTACCACAGCCGTTACCACAACAGAGCCGTTACCAGAGCCGAGTCGTTACAACAGCCGAGCCGAACTACCCCCACAGTCGAGCCGTTACCACAGCCAACGGACGTAGGTATAGGACACGGAGCGAGGGGAGGTGGTGTTAAACCTGCTGACTGCTGAATCAGTAGCTCAGGGAAATGGAGACTGCGTTACGAATGGTGAAGAGGCAGAGCGAGAGAGAGAAAGAGAGAGAGAGAGAGAGAGAGAGAGAGAGAGAGAGAGAGAGAGAGAGAGAGAGAGAGAGAGAGAGAGAGAGAGAGAGAGAGAGAGAGAGAGAGAGAGAGAGACAGAAAAAGAGAAAGAGAAAGAGAAAGAGAAAGAGAAAGAGAAAGAGAAAGAGAAAGAGAAAGAGAAAGAGAAAGAGAAAGAGGGAGAGAGAGAGAGAAGAGAGAGAGAGAGAGAGAGAGAGAGAAGGAGAGAGAGAGAAAAAGCAGAAAAGAAGAAAAGAAAGAGTTGGAAAGTGTAGGTAACTACTTACAAGAACATATGTACTCTTTATGCAAGGGATAAATTTAAGTAATGACAACCCTACCAGCAAACCAGTCTCGAATATTTTACCCGTATAACGTAATTATACCAGAACCCCTTAACTATTAGAACTTTTGCAATACTGACGCAAGATATACGCCCATCATGACATGGACTTCTAAAATTTTCAGAAACAAAACTACAACCCTGGGGATTTCGTCTGATCGAGGGTATTTGCCCGCGCTGCCCAGAGAGACCTTTCTAAGCGCAGCACTCATTGCTGCAGATGCCTCGCCGAATCAGAGTCTGTGCTGCTGATTGGCAGTTACTGGCAGTCGGCACTTTACGTGCTCAGAAGCTATATGATTTGTCTACTGACGTCATGAGCTCAGTTCAAGTCATCACCAGTAATAGCTGATACTGATAGTGAGACATATTGAACATCAAAGCCGAAAGCTTGGGAAGCTGGCTCCACTTTGGCCCTTCATTTCGCCCGGGTATTGCGGAGCCCAAAACAATATAATGTTCAGCTTGCGCATTTTTGTTAGGCCTGTTTGCTATTTTCATTTCGGGCCTCGGAATGCAAGTAAGACACTCGTCCCATATTTGCTTGAAATAACTACAGCCAGATTTAGGTGCCTACCATTCGAGAACCAACTCCCGAATGTGTATGGATTCAGTTCATTCATCCAGTCATTCATTCATCTATTCATTCATCAATTCATTAATCCATCCATTCGTTCGATCCATCAAGGTATCCATCTATTCATTCATTCATTCATTCATTCATTCATTCATTCATTCATTCATTCATTCATTCATTCATTCATTCATTCATTCATTCATTCATCCATCCATTCATTCATTCATTCATTCATTCATTCATTCATTCATTCATTCATTCATTCATTCATTCGTTCATTCGTTCGTTCGTTCGTTCGTTCGTTCGTTCGTTCGTTCGTTCGTTCGTTCGTTCGTTCGTTCGTTCGTTCGTTCGTTCGTTCGTTCGTTCGTTCGTTCGTCCGTTCGCTCGCTCGCTCGCTCTCTCGTCTGTTCGCTAGTTCATTCGTTCATTCATTAACCCTCGCACGACCAGGCCATTTCTCATAACACGAACGACCAGGGGGGGTTGTTACGACCCCCCCCCCTGGCGTTTCGAAACGGAAGGTCGTAGAGCTTAGCGGAAAAAACCAACGGATTGCTCTCAACGAGATCTCGCGATTGGTGGTATATTTTTTGGTCCTAGGTCAACATTTGACCTACTTATGACCGGTCAAAGGTCAAATTTTCCGAAAAAACAAACTTTTTCAACTTTCCGCGGCGATTGCGGCAAAACGGTGGAAGATATCGACTTGAAACCTTCACTATCGTGTTCCTTGATTAATTCTCTATCGTTTGGTATGTATTTCGTTTCCCTAGCTCTAAAAATGGCGCGTTGGGAGCGCCGGAAGTCGGCAAGGTCACAGTCGGCGGCAGAAATTCGAAAAATCAAAATTTAAATTTTTGAAATCTGATTGTATTTTTGGATTTGGGAGGTCCATTTGCTCCCTATAGAAGCTAATATTGCTGCATATTCCCATTGAGGTGACAAGAATTAGCAAAATAGTGGTTCGGGCGCTTTTCAAAAATAGTACCGGACGCTGTTCCTCTTGTGACGTCATAGCTCCGTGACCTGACCTGACCCGGTCAATTTTCTTGCACCACACGATAGCCAATTCTTGCCCCAACATGCATGGGAAGTTTCATCATGATCCATCAAACAATGTGGGTATCACCGGCAGAAAACCTAGGGATTCGGCGCACACGTTTGGTAACTGTCGGCCGGAGGCTGTACCTCTTATGACGTCATAACTCCGTGACCTGACATGACCCGATCAATTTTTTTCGGCAAAAGATGTGCAAAGGTTGCCCCAGAGGGTATTGAACATTTTAGCCCGCTACGACAAGCCGTTTAGCGTGCACTTCGAAAAAAACCTCTTCAAAATACAATCAAATGGTCTTCTTTGTTATGTGCTCTCCGAAGCTACTTCACAGGTTTGAGCTTACCAAACTAAGCGTCAAATAAAGCTATGTGCAATGTGCATAGCATTTGTCCTATAGCTGAAAAGTAAAATGCTAATGGCCCAATTGAAGAAAAGCATTGTCCACACACCGATGACCGATGGTCGATAACATAGAAATAAAAGATTGAAGAAAGACGGGACAGTTTACTTTTTATTGTGTAAAACATCTCACTCATGGCTAATGATAAGCAAAAAGCCAGGCTGGAAATTATTATATTTCCATAGCTGCATAGACATAGACATAGACATAGACGTGTATTGAAGCCATCCACGATACACTCGTGGCTATTACGGCCGCTCGTACAGGGCTAAAACTCTGCATGGGAGACATGACATAAAATAACGTGATAAATACGCTCAAAGCCCGTACACACAAACAAACATACACATGCACTCATACAGACTCATGGCCGCTGTCTAAGTCACCTCGCCTCCCCGTAGGTGGGATTGGAGGTGCCGACCAAATAGGTGGGCCGGTAGACGCGTCAGTTCTGACGGGAGCTGGTTGTAGGCGAGGGGCGCCCGGCAGCAGAACCGGCGCTGCCCCATCGCTGACCGCGATCGTGGGACTGACAGATTGCGGTCCTGTCTGGTGGATCGCTGCCGCGTCTGCGATACCTGCACCAGCTGGGCAGCCAGGGTTTCTGGCTCGCCTGATCGCCGCACCTTGTGCACCTTGTGCACTTGTGAGTAAAAAAAAAACTTTTTTTCCAGAAATTTAACTAAAATGCTCGTTTTGATCTCCTAACTTATTATCGCTCTTTACCTAACTCCTAACTCATTATCAAGAAAAAACCATAACTACGCCTACGCTTCCAAATGCTTCATTGCGAGTGAATAGTGATATCTTATTTCTGGTATTTCTTATTATCTCTGTTTCTTAGATTGGGTATGTACTTATCTCATCACCAAGTTACTATAATAGCTTGCCGACGTAAGCCAGTGGAGATGCCCGCTACCCTAAGTAACGATGCGAGATTCACTCACAATCGTTATTGCAAGACAAACGGAAATTTCATAACGTTCACAAGCATTTCTCACTTTATCATGACTACTGTTGCTCACATCCATGCAAACATCGGGGGAGCTCTTTAGGAAGACATTTTCCTTGCATTTTGAAGCACTGTTCGATGACTGCAAAATCCATATTTCTAGCATCTCGCTCGAGCGGAAGAGGGTGGCAGGTGGTAGACATTCCGTTCCGCTGCTCGCGTATCCCGGATGGGGCCGTTCGCCCTTTACCGCGCGGTCTCCGTGTGGCTGTTGGCAGCCTTCTCCTCAGAGCCGCCCTCAGATGAAGGTCAATGTGCGGCACAACGTCGCCGGATAGGATGCATAGCTGACCATGGCCTTGGTCGTGACATTCAGCTACCAGAACTCACGCCAGCCACATATCTCCCTCGCCTAATTGATATTCCAATAATTTTTCTCTCGTGAAACCTGTGCCCGTGCCGTCATCTAGATATCAGTAACGAGCCCTAAAACACAAGTATCTAACACAGGACATATTCACTCCATTACTGCACATAAAACCCAGCCACATAACTCCGGATGCATCACAATGACCCACAAAACCACTGGCCTCACTCACCTGTCATGACTGCCGCGCGCGAACAAAAGCCGGCCGGTGGTGAGCCGCGGGGGCCGGGGGCTCTCAATGGTCTCGGCGGCCGGTCGGGGTCGGTGTCACTACCGGCGCGCGGCGGGGGGCCGGCGGTCCGCTCCTCTGGGGTCAGACACACTGCGGGGCGAGCTGTCCGGCGGCGGCCGGCCGCATGGGCCCACCGCGGTCACCGCGCTACGAGGCCGAGCGGATGAACGCGTACCAGATGATACAGGTCACCACACAGATGAATATGAAAATGAAGAACACGACCAGGAAGACTCGCCATGGCTCCATGGGCGCGGCGCGGCGGACGGCACGGGGCGCCACTCAGAGGCCGGGCGGCGCGGCGCAGCGCGGGGCGCCGCCTCCCTGGCGGCCGAGCTGAGCGCAGCGCGCGGCCCGCCCGCTGCCGAGTCCACACATGGTGCCGCTGGCTGCGCCGCCGGACCGACACTGCCACCACTACCACCTCCACCGCCGCCGCCGCCGCCGCCGCGCGGTTCCCGAGGGAATCGATCGTTTTGGAGGGCGGCGGCGCGGCGCGGGCGGACCGCTCTCTGGGCTGCCTCTCGTGGTCGGCCGGCTCGCGGCGCTGACCGGGCCGTCAGCGGGCCGCCCCATGTGGTCCCTGCAGCCAACAGGCTGACCTGGCGGACCTCAGCGGACCTCGGCGGACCCCAGCGGCGCGGCTCCGCTCGGCCGGCAATGGAGACGGCTCGGCGACGGGCGACGCAGAAATGTAGTGTGACAGAATGTCAGCGACGTAGGATAACGAGACGTCAGGCATTGGAACTAGGGAGACGGGCGCAATGAGCCGGCTTGGAGATGATCGTGTCCACACGGTATGCAGAGATAAAAACACCGGTGAGCGTGGGCCTAATGCAGAGGAAACAGCGTTGTCGGCGCCCGCTGTCCAGTGTGTCCATGTCCAGCAGTCTCAGAAAATCGGCTTTGTCCCTAATACTGCAAACCCTCGCGAGCCCTCACATTTTAGACTGCACGCAGAACGGATTATGTCTATCCTTATAGTGTATGCCTGAGGGTAGAAAGGCATGGCCTACTGCAGCGTTTTGAAACTACTGAAGCAACTTCGTTCCGGGCTTCTGAAATACGTCGGCAGAATATTTTCTAACGCAAAGCGGCTTTGAGGCGCTGAGTGCACATTTCAGAGGTGTGTCACGCTGCTTGCTTGTGAGTCGTCCTGTACGGGTGAGTGATACATTTTTGACATCGCATAGCACACGGAGCATGTGAAATATTTACACGGAATAATCTCGGTATTCTGTCTTTACGTGAAATACGATTTAAGGTCTGTAGCTGCCAAAGGCCTAAACAAAAATGGATACCGTCTTCATCTACTTCTTTGGTCGTTATAACTAGGTGGTAGTTACGTAAATTTGGTTGACTCAAGTGTGGCTCAAGCATTTGTACACGAAAAATAAAACTCACCCTAGGTACAATATAAGTATTCAAATAAATCTAAAATAAGCGTAAAAATAAAATAGAATCCCCCATGTCTAAGTAAAATAGCTGGGCATCCGTTATAAACAATCTTCTTTTTCAGAAAACTGTTGGATGAATAAGTTTATTGAAATTCAAACATATAGCAGAGATTCACAACTTGATGGAACGAGCAATAATTTAAAAGTTAAAAAACACCAATACAGATACAACACTGCGGACAGTACACATGTGAAAGCGAGCAAAATGTGGTGTGCGCGCTTGCCAGTCAAAGCATCGGACACATAACAAGAAACGGATGGCTGATCTAAATACAAATACTTTAAAATCGGATAAGGTACTCTTGCGCGGGGACCCTCAGAGTCCGGTCCCTAACATCCGTACATTAGTTCCCGCCTGCGGTCAACACTTCATGCAACAGCACGGGTCACTGCACTGCCCACGGCTCAGAAATTGCAACAATAGTCAACAGCGCTCAGAGGGAGTCAGTCCAAGGCTCATAACAAATGATTCGATCGAAACAATATACCTACATTCAAAGGCCTAACAATAATTTGCAATCTAGGTGAATGTTTCTTGAGCCATTTCAATGCGTCGCACATATGTACTAAATTTGATTTCAAATGTCTATATTCTCAACCGGTCAGGGTTTCATAGCTAATCATGACGGCTATCAATTGTTCGAACGTGACCCACCGCTGAATACTGACTGGGGTAGGACACAGGCATTCGAGGGCCCGAACAAGAGCTTCAGCGTTGAGTCACCTCGGTGCACCAGGTGCAAGGGTGGGTATGACGGGGAGCGAGGCCCCTAATACTGGACCCGCCTGACGGGAGCAAGGGCCCTGGGTTCGGCAAAAACCCTGAAGGGGTGAGGGCCCTGAGGACGTCCGAGGGCCCTGTCACCACCAGGCCACTTCTGAGCGAGCGGGGACACGCGGCAGGCCTATGGGATGGGTGCGACACGGCGGGATGCACTGCTAGGCGGTGAGCTGATGGGTATTGCTGGGGCGGATGGCGATGAGATGAGACACATACCAGGTCAGGCACGCGCTCGGGCAGGGCCGGCCGCGTGCACAGGCACCTGGTCAAACGTTGGACACGGGACAGGTACACAGTTGAGGAACACAGTGATCCCTGAAACGGTCGGACGCGGGCCGACGTCGAGCCGACGAGGAGCTGCACAGAGCCGGGTGAAATGGACACGAGCTCAGACACGGAAAGCTGGCGATAAGGAGACGGGAAAAGTGAACAGTGATCAATGAACAGGGTCGTGTGTACGGTTGTTTGCTTGTCAGTTTAGCTTCTAATGGCATGTTATCATTAATAGGCTGAAAATATACGCAAACTGTGATTTCGTTTACTTTGTTCACGGGTAGTGTTTAACAATGTAGTGACCAAGTCGATGCACCAGAAGGAAGTTTGATAAGAGTCCGAAATACAAAATATCTTCTTTGTAGTAAACCCAAAAGCAAACAGAAACAGAAACCCAAGCCAGCCTTGATATACAGGCCAGCGCGGAGCCATTCACTGAAAATACACGAGCCTACGAAGCGCATTGCGAACGGATTTTTAATTGAGCATCGGCCGCTATTCCGGTTCCAATGTGCATTTACTTTGCTCTTGTCTGAAACAACTGAATGATAAGAAGAGCATGATCCATTGTGTATGGTACCATGTCTAAATATGTTCACAGAAAATATAACAGCATGGCTTTCTCGTTCAACTTTGCGCATTTAATAAAATGACTTTGTCATTATCTTCATCAGGCAGGAGGACAGCTACGACAAAATATAAAGACCTAACATGCTAGTCACATAAATGCCCATTGCCTAAGCCATAAAAATAAATCATTGGAATGCCTTTCATTGAACCAACAACCTCACACCCGAACAACTGTCCTTCATCCTTCCAACTTCCAAGAATAGGACATCCTACTTATCTTACAAGTATCAAAACCGAGCCACCGTAATGCCTACACATTCTAACATAACAATAGAAAAGTAGTTGTTTCATGTGTGCCACTGCATGCACTACAGCCGTGTCGCCGGGGCCGGTGGCTGCACGTGGGTCCTCACAGACACACCCGGCCACAAGTAAAACACAGGGAACGGGAACTGGAATCGAACGAGCCAGTGCACGGTACATTATGTACAGAACGACTATGTACAGAGTGCGACTGTCGGTAAACGATCCACAGCGTATGTAATCCGCGAAAGTACGCGGTGCAGCTATCGACCATGCAGCAGACACATGTGGTGGTTTATCTCAACGATATGCTGAGGGCTAGTGTCAGATGAGGGGAGAGGTCACATGAAAAGCAATGAGCGCACTTTAAAAACAGGCATACGAACTCATCGCATGCATATGTACAAATATACATCCCGACGCAACAATTAGTTGCCATGCCGTCTACGTGCAAAGCATTCTAGAATAGTTTTCAACTTCAGTTGAAGTGAACAGACATCGTGGCTTTACACTCAAAAGCCGCGATTTTCAAACAAATAACGACGTCGGAGGATTCTCAATCTCCGGAAAAAAGTCATTCAGAGTGTTAGTGCAGGGTAGTTGATAACATACCTTCCGTCATATAGAACCAGCTATCAACAGATAGCGCTACCATTTACCTACCCATACCGTCATCTGACTAGATATGAAACACAGGACGTGAGCGACCAGCCGTCGAGAGAAGTCGAGGTTACTTTCAATGTCCATGGCCATGATAAGCTGCCCAGCCAGCTCAATCAACAGAGCGCTATCACACTCGCTCAGCAGCACTGGCCTCGTCTGTAGCACACCGTAGTTGACTTTGCTCGTCTTGTCGGGCCAAATTTGCCCGTCAGCACCTCCAGGTCAGTCCTGTTGTCTCCCGACCAGCAGAGCGCACTCGTTCGAGCTACCAGAGTCGGTATCGGCCGCCGTACTGCTATCGTCGCTCACAAAACACGGCCCAACAACACGGGGAACAATACACACATCTGTGTCAGCAACACTGCAAATGCCGAGAGAGCTGCCCCATAAAACATCAACACACCTTCGCGCTGTAAATTCACACCGAGCTCAACCGCGATTTAAAGCTCACCGATCCACTAACATTCACTCCTTCACTTTCCGACAAAGGAGCTGTACACTGCAGATGCCCATCATAAGGAACAACTCTGATGAGCTGGACCCCGTTCACCAAATAACTGCATCATCGAGGGCTGATCATCTCTCCACACCCTTCCCCTCACTGCATGGTCGTGCCTCTCCACTCCGGCCAGCTGCAGGTGCAGACTGGTGTCCGGAGAGCTGCAGACCAGACCTCCTCGAACCTCACTGGACCTCACCGGACCTCGTCGGACCGGACTGGACCGGACCGGGGCCTTCACCGGCGCACTACGAGAACGAGCTGCGTCTCGAGTCGATGTTGTAGACCAGCGTGCGGCCCAGGTTACCCATGGAGAGGCGCGGCTTGATCTTGCTGGCGCCGTCTCCGCCGTGGCTCGACGGCACCGTCAGAGATGAGATGCGGGAGGTGCGCGGCTCAATCGACAGCGACCTGAGGTCACAGGAGCGGGGGCTAGGGTCAGTACTGACACAACCAGACCTGATGCCTCAGGAGGCAAGAGGTCACAGATCAGTGGTGACACAGACCTGGGTCACGTGCAAAAAGAGATCACGGGTTAGCGGTAACAGTGATCCCTGGTTTTCACGGTACAAGGGCACAGGTCAGTTTTGATAGTGATAACATTGCTGAGATGGATAAACGGCGTCGAAGTGCAGGGCTGAAAGAAATGTTGCCATTATGCACATCAATTGGCTTCTTTTTGTTTCAAAGCATCATCAAAAAAAAAAAAAAAACATCGGCAATAAAAGAAATGAATGCACATCATATTTGTGTCATTTCGAGTGTGGTGTGTAATCCTCCAGGTCATAAGGATTACAATCGCAAGCCTCTTTCTCCTACTAATATCTGAGACAA